GAAGCATCGGAACAACACCCGCTTGTGCTGGAACACCTTCACCACCAGCCAGGGCTCGCGGACATTCTGCGCCTTCCTTTCAGCCTCACGCTGCTTCTCTAACTCAGCAGTATCCCTCAACGCCTGCAACGACTTCTCCGACAATTGTTTTTTGTTTACCCTTGCAACCTCTTTGAGCAGAGCCTCTGACTCTTCATATCTACTCTTGCTCATGTACCAACGTACAGACTCTGGCACGATCCAGAAGTATGCAATAGTGAACAGTTGTGGTATATATAGCGCCAGAGTAAGCGGTCTCCACGCAGGCACGGCCCAAGCTATGAGCCCCATGATCACCTGCCCCAGAGCAAAGAATGTATTTAGAATTGCTCCAGCGATGACTCGATATTTCGGACCTACGAGCTCCAGAACTGTGAACAAAGTATTTGTAAGTACTTGTACTTATCAGATATGAATGATGCCGGTGCGGTGGTACAAGAATGTACAAGACACTTACCCAAAATATAAATACATGAGAAGACCCCGGCACCGAAAGTCGCTTCCACAAATTCTGAGATCATGAAGCCCATGTATGTGTTGGCCCAGTACCTGGTGACTCCAATCCAGCCGGTGTTGAAGGCATTGATAGTGAGCGCAATGCGTCGCCCCCAGCGGTCGGAGATGTACCCGGTAATAGGGAGCGCAGTTAGCGTGCCAAACGTACGCACGAACCCGATTAGTGAGCGACGCCATTCGTCGCATCCTAAGTCGTACTGTACTCAAAGAAGGATGATGAAATTAATACACAACTAACCCTTCACCTGTTAGTCAATAAACTAATAAGTAGATTTTATTTCACAAATAGCTTTTAAAAGTTCAATCAACAATAAATTGACAGTACTACACAATACCCTGCTACGCCGTAGCATGTGCTACGAAATTACTTATGACGTGTTCACAATATATTAGAAAGTTTTCTAACGGTGAACTTGTTTCTTTGGTTTCTTTTGTTTATTATATTAATCACATAATATTGAAATACTCACGTCGTACACCACAGTCAACTGGTTCTGGTACACATACTGGTCGCAGGGCAACAGCCTGTACTTGTCGAACAGCTCAGCTGGACAGCTGTCGGCCCGCGGCAGGACGGTCACGTTGCCGAACCGCCGGCAGTTATCAAAGGAGTCCTCAGTTTGAGGCACAGCTTACTGAGCCACGGTGTAATGAACTCCGGCTGCTCGCCATCGCACTCCGGGATCAAACATCTGTTAAAAGGACAAGTCAAGTTTGTGTTTACATTTTTCACACATTACATTGTCACAAGGCAGAATATTTAAACTGATCTATTTTAGTTAAATTCACGTAATGTATAGAAGCACGTCTGAACACAAACATCCGTTCTACAAAACATACATAATTACATACTTCTTGTATTTTTAATTCACTGTCTACAATGTATATGTCTTTACAATGTAACACAACTTCTAGCATTATTATGACTTGCCTGGTTTCGATTCTCGCCGTAGTGAACACGTACTCCGCATGGAAGGCTGCGAAGATGACCACGATGACAGTGAGCAGCAGTGTCCGTAGCTGGAACTTCCCGAACTGGCCGATCTCCTCCACCAGAATACTGTCCAGGTCTACGAAACCTTTCTCCTCCCGAGCCGACATCGTGAGCTACTGCCGCGATACACCGAGTAATGTCACACGCCTGATAATATTTATATTATCATCACTTTTATAAGCTGTTTAGTTTACTTCGCGATATGTCGACACCTAAAACTACTTATCTTATATTTAATTCAAAAACGGCATGTGCAATCATTGAGCAGGGTAGTGATTACGACATCCAACTCGAACTCGAACACGCGCTGTCTACTTCACGTCGAACGAATATGTATATCACATTTGCAATAGGATGGTCAAAAAACCCGTATGCACGCACACTTATTGTAGCTGTTCTTACTATGTATTTTGATTCATTGACTTCACAAGATGGTTATTTTAGTAATTCATATTTCACCATACACACCGCACACACTAACACAAGAGTACTTGCGAAGTTTATCTCAACTCAGACAACTGACAACAAACTGAGATATGTACTCCGATAATGTTGCATTTTCCTCTTAAGAGCCTCGTGAGGATTGTATTTTAACATTTCTATTATCTTTTTTTCTTTCATGTAACTAATATGTTGATATTCGTAGGTCGGGGCTATAATGTTACAATTTTACTAATTTGTCCGTGAGTGGTGCCGATTGCTCACCATCGAGGTGTCAATTTCTTCTTTTGCCGCCCGAATCCAAGAAGTGGCTGGCCCAATGAACAGCTCTCAATTCCAATCACAATACATAGTTTTGTACAAATATACAACACTTTTTAAAATCTCCAGCTTTGTTTATCTCGCGTGTGTCTGGAACATGTCCTTGGGTCAAATCATCATAATCTTACATTCAAGGTTCGCACAATCGCACCGCTATCAGATACCATGCACACGTGCATGCGTGCACACGTGCACATCGTATCTTATATTGCGTTACATCATAGTCATATTTGGGAGATAAGAGGTATAGGGATGTTGACCAAATCAAGCCCACTACCATTTTATCAAGTTTACCAGGAATATATAAATCTGTTTGTCTGTCTACTCATATGTACATATACTAGCTTCCCGTCTGAGGTTTCACTGTGGAATTCTTTTCGAGGAGGTCCCGGTCCTATATCCCGGTCCCATACAAACAAATTTTGTCTTGTTACCCCTGAAATCGCTAAGGTAAACTATTCAATACTAAAATCATTTTCAAAGCGGTACAGGAGTTATAGAAGTTTTCATTACAAATGAACAAATAACAAATATCTTATTTTGCAATATTAAATAGAGAATACGTATAGTAATACATATACGTATACGTGGCAGCTTTATGGCTATTTATTTATTCATTAGGTAATTCCGGCTAGTATTAATTTACTGAAATGCAATAATGTTAATATGCAAATAGGCTTTTGTCGATAATCTTCATACTAATCTTATCAATCGAGTCTTAAACTGGCTTAAAAGTAAATTCATTTAAAATTATGTTAATCAGTTATTTGGGTAATATAATTTTCAAAAAAATACGTCGTACTAGTGACAATGAGGAAATCGAAATTAGAAACCAAACAAAATGAAATGTATAAATATTTTAATGTATTATTGTAATAATACTGAGATTAGGTTTTAATTTTCTGGTCAGGTTGTCCGATTCTGTCTGCCTGGTCGAAAGTGTCTGGTAGAGTAGTGCCGAGGGTCTCCGGCGTGAGGAAGATCAGGCCACCAGACACAAGCGCCAGGGAACCGAACATCACGAACGGCAGCTCCGCGAACCATTGCGCACCCTGCACGAGAGATGACAACATTACTTTCAGCCTGTATAAATATTGCACTCTTTACTAATACAACAATAAAAGTTAATCTTACAAACGCAGGTGTGAGTGGCGCCAGCATGGAACCAATTCGACCAATCATGGAGGAGAACGCAAACAAGGTGTGTCGGTACTTGGTGGGGTACAGCTCCGCCGTGTACACGTACACAGAGGTCGCCACCATCGCGATAGCGAACTTTGCGATCAAGTACACCAGCAGGGCGGCTACATACATTCCTGGAATGTTAATTAAACTATTGTCATCAGTCTCAATCTTAATAGTGAAAATGTATTGTCTAAGTAGATAACTAAAACTAACCTTGTGGTATGAAAATATAGGCGAGTTGACATACAGAACACAACCAGAAGGCACCAGTAAGCACTGGCTTCCTTCCAATTGTTCCCATCAAATAGTATGCAGTCCAAAAGCCAGGTATCTCTACCGCGGCTACCGCTATAAAGTTCAAGTACTTGTTGCCAGACATGTTGACCGCGTTCAGCGACAGCCCGTAGTATATGAACGTGGTGGTGATCCACCACACCGGCGACACTATACACCGCACTAGTATCGGCTTGTGTCGGAGCACCTGCACTACGAGCCATGGCTCGCCGCTACTTCCTTCCACCTTCACATCGCCCTGTAGCTTCTCCTCCGCAGTATGACGCAACGCTTCCAGTGACTTGTCAGACAGTTGCCTTCTGTTCACTTTGGCCACCTTTTTCAGCAGAGCTTCTGACTTATCAAAGCGACCCTTGCTCATGTACCACCTCACAGATTCGCTGATAATCCAGTAGTAAAGGATGGTGAGGAGCTGAGGAGTGTAGATCACCAGTGTAAGGTTTCTCCAGTTGGGCACGGCCCACGCGAGCATACCGAGTGTCACCTGGCCCAGTGCGAAGCACGTCTTAAGAGCTGCGCCCACCGCGACGCGATAATCGGGGCCCACCAACTCCGTCACTGTGAACATGGGCCATAAATACACTCTCTTATAGATGTAACTAGCTATATTTATTTTCAATTTTTAATTATATAAATACTTACATAAAATGTAAATACTTGAATACAAGCCGCATCCAAAAGTGGCTTCGGCAAACTGTGACAGTACGAAAGCGAGGTAAGTGTCGGCCCAGTAACGTGCGAGGCCGAGCCAGGCCGTGTTAAAGGCATTAATGGTTAGAGCCACACGCCGCCCCCACCGGTCTGAAATGTAGCCGGTGATGGGGAGAGCTGTCAGCGTGCCGAACGTGGTCACCGTGCCGATCAACGAACGTCGCCACTCGTCACACGCCAATCCATACTGATATTGAAAAAAAAAACATGAATTACACAAATTATCCTTACCAAGCCACTTAACTATTGTTATAGTGTCACCGTCTCACATCGAATACTACGGAGTTTGTGTTTTCGTACACAAAGGTGTCACAGGGTAGCCGCGTCTCTTGGTCAAACAGTTCGCTGGGACAGATGTCATTATCGAACTGCCGTCGTGATGCAGTGGAGTTCCCGAAGCGCTCGCAGTTGTCGAACGACCCCTGCGTGGAGCCCGGCGGTACTGCGTTTACCAACCAGGATGGAGCGAATTCAGTGGGCTCATTTTCACACTCCGGAATCAAACATCTAGAAAACAGATATTTAGTGTCATTGACATAGGCACAGAAGGATTATTATGTTAAGGAAATTAGGTGTTATAACGGTACCTACTTCTAGACGCACAGGCAGATAACGTTAATTACTGAGGTATTATCCTCATCACCCCGGCTTGCTACAGTCAATGGTTCTGTTCATCAGTGTTAACTAGGTAGTGTTATATCAAGGACCCACCTGGTGCTGATGCGCGCCGTGGAGAAAACGTACTCCAAGTTGCTCCAAGCTACTAACATGACCAGTACAGCGGCAAGCAGGAAGGTGCGGAGCTGGTACCTGCCGAACTGGCCGAGCTCCTCCACCAGCAGCGAGTCCAGCTCCATCCTTCGCGTGCTCACGTCGGAGCCCCTGGCAGTACCCACCATGCTATCCACGAAATATGAGTACAGATACACTAACTGCAGTGTATGATCGTACACAGCTTCCTACAAAATGATCTGCATCCAAACATACCTAAGTGCGTTATCTTAAATGCGTTTATCTCACAGATATAATATTTCTGTGGTTTATCCAGTCTGTCGACCGATGACAGACTTTTCAGATATGCATTAGAATTTTATTGAAGTGTCTTAGTAAACACTTGTAGTTCATTAAAATTTCGACTTCGGGTATCATTTTCGAGTTATCATCATTGTGTTACAACTGTAATTAGTTATACAAGTGCATTTTTTTAAAACATTGCCCCACACTAGGATTTTCTCCTGCGTCGTGGTTACGCACCCACGACACAGTCTAAGTAAACTTTTACAAACATACAAGTTCACGTACACATGACCCCATACCCGAAACAACAATCTGTGGATCACACAAGGAGTTGTTCCGCGAGTGAGAGAATGGAATCCGCGACACTTTGCGGGGTAGCCAGTTGCCCATCCACCGCGCCAACTGTGCGTGTCTGTATCTGTACCAAAATTGGGGTTTTAAATATATTTGGGTTCCTTTAGAAAAGGTTATTATATGCGTTATAGTTAATACAAAATGATATACTCGTATTTACTAAATTGTTAGTAAATTGTCAGAAGTCGTCTTGAATATGCGTCCCAAAGGATAATGGACACATTGGGCGTTACCCCAACAGTCTGTTTCTTACCGTGACAACATTTAGATAGGACGCCGGGAAAAAGATAACGACCCACAAACGTCAAAATCTTATTTTTCCATGAAGCAAACATAATAAAACTAAAATCTGAATAAAATATATTTATTATCATAATTATGTATTAATTAACTTAGTATATTATATAGGTACAATAGTAATGAGATCACGTGGTTGTCTTCTTCTTGCCGAGCTGCTCCGCATCCTCGAAGGTGTCTGGTAGCTTGGTGCCCAGCGTCTCCGGCGTCGTAAAGATCAACATGCCAGACAGTAGAGCGAAGCTGCCGAACAGGACTGATGGGAATGGCTCCCAAACTTCCGAAGCCTAAAGAAAAATTGAGTAATTTAATTAGTCATCTCGATCGTATTTAGTTAAAAGTATTAGAATTATAGAGGTACTTTGCTATACTTTGCTAGCTAGGCTACATGTCAGAGCTATACTTGCAGATAAAAATTTAATGATACTTGTTAATAATGAACTTACAAGAGCTGGTGTGAGCGGCGCCGTGATGGATCCGAGCCGGCCCACCATGGAGGAGAACGCGAACAGGTTGTGTCGGTACTTGGTGGGGTACAGCTCCGCCGTGTACACGTACACGGAGGTCATCACGATGGCGATACAGTACTTGCCGAACAGGTACAGCGCCAACTGGATACCCTCGTTACCTAGAAAACAATCAAAACACGGTGAATGTGTGATGCAGTTAGCAAGCGAGTAGTTTAATGTAATCAATAATGGTCTTTAGATCTACTATATTTGCATATTACAAGAGCACGGTCTTTTTTTTAAGGGATAAACCAGCCACAACCTCCCAAACCGCTGCAACTCCTGTAAGCCAGGATCTACAGTAGATACAACCATGAAAACACCGGAATACTGAAGTCCGGCGCGTCTCAGATACATGAATAACAGTCTTGGTTCCCGCAACGAAGTGAATCAGAAGATATTATGAGGAGAAAAGAGCACGGTCTGTTAAATTACCTTCAGGCATGAAAGCGAACGAGAACTGGCAGGCAGCGCACAGCCAGTACGCGCAGATGAGCACAGGCTTGCGGCCGATGCGGTCCAGCAGCAAGATGGCAGTCCAGTAGCCAGGAATCTCGATGGCCGCCACCGCCACGTAGTTCAGGTACCCATTACCCGACATGTTCACCGAGTTGATGTTCATGCCGTAGTACACCAGCGTGTTCGTGATCCACCAGATCGGTGACACCAAGCACCGAGACAGAATCACACGAGACCTGAACACCAACACCACCAGCCATGGCTCCTTTGGCTTTACAGTGTTCTTCTCAGCCTCGGCGGTAGCTCGCAGCGCTTCCAAACTCTTGTCAGACAGTTCCCTCTTATTGGTTTTGGCCACTTTCTTCAAAATCTGTTCAGACTCTTCATAGCGACCCTTACTCATCAGCCACCTGACGGATTCCGAGAGGATCCAGAAGTAGCTGACGACTAACAACTGTGGCGCGTACAAGACTTGTGTGAGCGGTCGCCACGCAGGCACTCCCCACGCTATGAACCCGAGGATTACTTGGCCCAGAGCGAACAGGGTGGAGATTGTGGCACCAGCTATCACACGGTACTTAGGTCCCACCAATTCCGTCACTGAAAGTGGAGAAAGGGGCATTTGAGATTTGTTGCTTGTTTTCTATTGCAGTTAAACAAGTGTGACTGACGAGTGCCCACTCACCTAAAATATAACAAGAAGAATACGCTCCAGCTCCCACAGATGACTCGAGCACTTCGAGCGCAAGGAACCATTCGTATGAGTTGACGAAGGAGCGCACGAGACCGATCCAGCCGGTGTTGAAGGCATTGATGGTGAGCGCCACACGCCGCCCCCAGCGGTCCGAGATGTAGCCGGTGATAGGCAGCACCAGCAACGTGCCGATAGTACGGATGGATCCGATCTGGGAGCGCTTCCACTCGTCGCACGCCATGTCGAACTGGAGTCAATTGAATACATCCATCAGTACATTAAAATATTTAGAATGTAACCTAACTGTTATTATTTATCATACAAGTAAAATTTTTTATTAATATCTCTTGTTCGTTACGCATGAAGTAAGCCAGTATTACAGATTATTTGGCATTAACTATTAATATTCACCCAGAAATAAATAAACATCCATCGTTAACTACATGAGTGGACTAACAGCAGAGAGTAACTGCCTCGTTGGCCGAGTGGTAGCAAGTGCGACTACCAGGCAAAGGTTCGATTCCTGGGTCGGGCAAAGTATTACTGAGTTTTTTTTAAATCTCAGTAGTAGCACGGAGTTTGGAAATGTGCCCAGTATATGGCAAGACTCATAACATTAAAAGTGGGGGTTACCTCTGCCTATCCCTTCGGGGATAAAAAGGATGTTATGTATGCATATCTAAAAATCGCTAATAAGCTGATGAACCTTCATTCATATTGTTTAAGGTACTAAACATGTCCTCAGCAGGGTCACACGCCATGTAAGGCACAAATACACAAATACGTATTTATCAAGTTCACCTGGTTTATGACTATTAACTAATTAGCTTCGTTTATCGCCGGCGAGTTAAGTCGATAGAGGCAGTAAATAATGATCGATTACGACAATTACCTACTTTGACGGTCGGATTATGATAATTTAATAAATTCCTCGTACTATCAATAATAATATATCTATCTCTAGACTACAGGTACAATAAATTACGAGTACTGCCATTTCGAGCGCATTTTACGACTTAACTAATATACTTAGATTAGTAGTATTTACATGGGAATTAACAAGTATTTACCCCACGGAGACGAAAGTAATTTCATACAAAGAACTCCAAACGGTACATTCCATTTTTAAAACATTAACCGCCATACTCAGAGCCTTTTGACGGTTGCTTAACCCAGTCATTAGCAATTTTTTTCGGAACAAAAATGATACTAAGGAATAGTGTAAGAAATCATTATATGTCCCAGAGTACGGCAGATAATGTGCGTTAAACGCAATGCAACCAAATTAGCTTAGTTAAACGTTAGATAGCTATAGAATTTCACGTAGAACTTTACAGTTCTAATTAAATATCTATTGATAAACCTAATGGTATTGAGTAGAGTCTCTTTCTCTCTCTCTCTCTCTCTCTCTCTCCTCTCTCACACACACACACACACACACACACACACACACACTCACACACACACATAAATTTATTCATTTACTCAAACAAATAAATACAATTTCAATTACCTTTGGTATGTCATACCGTTCAACCATACCATTTTATTTTTTGTCTAGTTTTTCTTTTTGTTTTTCATAAATTGGTTCATTTAGAGATATTAGTTATTATTCTTAAGAATATTAAATAAAGTACCTTCCTTTACTTAGGCGAGACATGCCGAACAGATGTATTGTAATAATAACTTACTGGGACTGCCTCAATCTTAAACAGTTGGTAACTCTTGAGATAATAAATAATTTCAATTTGAAAGTGTTTCCAACGGAAAACTACAACAACGGACAACTACCTACATAGATCTTTGTGTAAGCAGACACAAGTACAGTGCTTAATGTGACTTTCTACTACGATTTGAATAGAATCGGCATTAGATTATGCCATAGATGTCGTGGTCATAGATGGAGGAAGTGAGAAGAACGTCATGTTAACTTACATCATAGACGACGCTGAGCTGGTTCTCGTATATATGGCTGCTGCAGGTCTTGGTAGTCGAGTTGTCGAAGAGTTCTGCGGGGCAGGTGTTTTCCTCCACATCCATCGTAATGTTCCTGCGCACGTACCGCTCGCAGCCGTTGAAGGTACTGCCACTCGGGGGGAAGGCACTCAGCGCCCAGTCCGGGGAGAACACAGGGTTCTCTCCGTCACATTCCGGGATCAAACACCTGTAGGGGACACCGTTATAGGTAATTATGTTACAAAGCATTTGCGGCAAGTGTGCTTTTACTATGAACTAATCGATTTTGATATCGAAATATTATATTTAGTGTAAATAACGTGCAGTCGCCCAAAAATTGCTATAGGTACGGGGACCGAAAAACTGTGCCCGATAGTTGACCGTGACGAAACCCGGAAGATACACCGTAACTGAAACATTGGAGTGACCCCGTCTGCGAGCCACGTTATGTACAGGTCGTGTAAGTATTGTGTTGTCTCTAAAATATTAAATGATATTCTTATCTAGATAGTTTAATTAGACCAGATGGTCTAATTAAACCATCGTTTCTAGTAATCCACATTCCCGAATAAATTTATTATTGGGCCAGTTTTACAGTAGTAATATTGATTGACATTCAAATTACCTCGTGGATATCCTGGCTGTAGTGAAGATATACTCTCCGGAGGCGAACGCGGAGAAGATCACGGGAAAGGCAGCGAGCAGTAACGTGACTATCTGGTACTTGCCGAACTGCCCCACCTCCTCCACCAGGATGTTATCCAGGTCCACCGGCTTGTGCGAGCCGCTGTCGCCTTTCTCTTCGTTCGACATTCTGCTGTCGTTGGATGCTTCGTCGGCTGACAGGCGCGTGTCCGGGGTTCCTAGTCGAGCGGTCCGCGAGCCAGCGTCGCCGTGCACCACCGCCGCAGTAATGCCAGTGCTGGACTGCTGCCAGGATTAATCAACACTACGTCATCTAAGCTACTGTTATCGCTCATATAGATTACCGCAATCATACAAATATTGATCACTTTTATTGTTAACAATAATCATCAAAAATACCAGTTTGGTATCTGTTTCTGTCAGGACACTTCACGCTAATTAGGAGAATAGCACTTCTCCATAAGGATTACAATTGCTTGGGTTACATTAACACGTTATGTTAATTATCCTTCAGATACGCGAGAATTGAGATAATGCGTATCTCATTTAGTATTGTTTACAGTCTATAGATTAGCAAATTATAATATTCAGAAACTTTGTGATAACTTGTGTTATGTTACGTGTAATCACTGATGTCCTTCTGTATAGTTATGATTGTAAAGTAATGTGTTGTGTTCCTACTTACGTAGTAGCGCTTTCAGGACACAAATGAAAGGAACCTTTCCTTAAAATAATTTTAATATCTACAAACAATCACTCTGAGTCTGAGTCCACATTGGAAGTTCTTTCTCTTTTAAGGTTCACTACTTGTCGGTCCCTAATTTTCAAACTGTTAATGAGCTTCATCACTTGTATCCTAAACTCGAACTTGGCGCTCTCTGAGAGTTTCTTCACGGACGGAGTGATGGACTTGAAGAATGCTCTGTCCTCGTCCTCCTCCTTCTGTATTAGGTTGGCGAGTACTGCTACGATGTTCTCCTCGTTGTCCTCCTTGCTGGTGTTGTACTCGATCTTGGCCCGCTTGGGCGGACACTCGACGGTCTGCGTGTCTCCGCCCTCCTCGATGTCGACGAACACCTCCTGCAGCCAGTTATGTGAGTTGTCGTTGTCTGCGTCATCATCGTTGGATATCCGTTCCTCGATGAAACTCTTCTCACTTTTCCTGTCTCCCGCCAGGTAGATGGGGTCCAGGAACTGCATCTCCTCGGCGTACAGGTACGGTCGCCGCACACCCGGCTTGCGAGACTTTACGTACGAGTCTCTGACGTTGTACCATTTCCTTGTGATTATATTACCTGTAACATACGTATATGCAAATTAGACATCATTTAAATACATTTACTGCTTAAGTTAATTCTTGAATATTTTGTTTGTACTCGCACGTGTACAAATGTACATTCGCACCAGTAGAATAGTCAAAGTAATTACGTAGAAATATTACAACTTAGTCAATTGCACATTGCAATTCAACGTTCTATGGTACTGTTACTTGTTCTTACCTAAGAACTTAAACCTAAGAACCTCCTCTGGTGTTGCGGGTGTCCATAGGCGGCGCTGATCGCTTACCATCACGTGATCCGTCTGCTTGTTTGCCTCTTATTCCATAAACATAACATCACACCTTTTATTTCCGAAGGGGTAGGCAGAGGTACACATTATGCCACTGTACAATGTAACACCCACTTTTCACTTTTTATGTTATGAGTCCCATGTAATAGGGGGTGAGCCTATTGCCATATACCGGGCACAATTCCAGACTCCGTGCTACTACTGAGAAATTTTAAAAACCCCAGTAATACTTTGCCCGACCCGAGAATCGAATCCGAGACCCTTGCCTGGCAGTGGTACTTGCGACCACTCGACCAACGAGGCATGGACAATTTCTCAAAAGAAAAGTACACAATATAACAGATCCGGGAATCGAACCCGTTTTCTTGGTAATCGCGCCACTCAAACAAAGTAGATACTTAGTTGCTATGTTTTGTAAGCTTACCAATGAGAGTCTTCTTGTTTTCGTTGAGCGTGTCATACGATGGTTCGAACTCGAGGTAGATCTCGTGCCAACACTTGTCCTTGGCGGCCTTGTCCCGGTACGAGGGGTGGCAGCGGTCCCACAGACACCGCTTCTGTCGCACCAGCTCGATGAGCTCGCGGGTCGAGATCATCTTCTTCGAGAACAGCAACACACTTGTGCTGCAAACATATTTTTCATGTGAGAGCCACGCTTCTGCACGCGATGGAAGTGATACCACGGCCTCACAGAAGACTGGCGTAACACAATCAAAGCGTGTGTATGTGAGAGGTTAGCGAAAGCCATCACATCCACAATTCCTAATCTTTAAATCCCCAAATCCTCAATCCCCAAAGGCTGACAACGCACTTGGAACTTCTCTGGTGTTGCGGGGGTCCATGGGCGGCTCAGATTGCTAACCATATGGTGATTAGATGCTAGTTTGCTGCCCTATAGTTACCATAAAAATAAAATCATACAATTAAAGCATTTTTGTCGATCAAACCACATACCCGTACAGGCTTTATTGAAGCATCATACAGTGGGTGTCGTGGTGGCCCGGAGGTTTAAGACGCCTACTTCTCATGCATGAGGGTGCGGGTTCGAAACCTACCAACGGCAAGTACCAATGTGACTTTTTCCGAGTTATATGTACTTTCTAAGATTATTTAGACACCACTGACAAACGGTGAAGGAAAAACATCGTGAGGAAACCTGGACTTATAATTTCTAATTATAAGTTTGTAATCGCCAACCCGCATTGAGCAAGCGTGGTGATTAATGCTCTAACCTTCTCCGTGTGAGAAGAGGCTTTGCTCAGCAGTGGGTATTTATAGGCTGTTGATGATACAGTGGGTGGAGTCTACATACCCTCATTCTCAGTCTACACTTGATACCCCACGTCCCCACGGTGTGCAACTAGCTAAATGATCTGATATTGTTTCATTGTATAGCAGGTACCATAACGTCACTCCTTTTGTTCCTTTAAGAAATAGTTAGTGGAAGGTATACGTTTAATGTAACGTACAAACACCAAGAACATATTGCACTATATGGATTCCAGACTGGATACCGTCAGTCATTACCTTGGTATTAGGTATCTACTAAATATTATAAAGTAAGATCAATATCAATGCTTATAATTGTAATGAAAGTGAAGAGTCCCTCAGCAGTTGTATTAAACTTCAGAATGCTTTTTGGTAGGTACATTCTAAATACAAAACAAACTACAACTACAAGTATGAAGGGCAAGGGTCTAGCTCCTAGTAGTCTAGTAACTTATCAACATTTAAGTTACACTCATTAAATAGATTTTAAACGACGAATTCGCAATGAAATATCTGATGTCAGGTATGCATGGGGTCAAAAATATTCCTAACCTGTCCAGAAATTATCCCTTAATACCTAGGTACACGAAAACGTTTTCAAAATAAATCACATTGCCGAAAAAAAGTATAATTGATTCATCTGTACGTACGTACTTATTAAAATTCCGACATATATTGTCAAAAGTTCACGGAGAACATGAGTAAACACTGCCGACCTTGAACTAGTTTCTCGAATATTGAACCGAGTTTCGCGCCAAATGTATGTCAAACGACCTTACCGCCCCGGCATAAAGACCAAAATAGAATGCTCCGGTCCTGATTGCAAGCAAAGTTCATTCTATGTTTCAATAAACGAAATTCTTAGTTTGGCGAAGTAATTTCTCTCTGTGTTTCGGGTACATAGCGAGTACACAACAGCATGTGTGTGTGTGTGTGAGGGAGCGCGAGACGTTCTGTGTCCACCCACCTTGTGTCCGAGTCCGACATTATCGATATCTTCAAACTGCTGCTATCCGGTTTCAAAATGGCGGTTTCTCTTGAAATTTCACTCCAAACTACACAAAATACATTTTATGTATGAAAAGATGACGGGAATTTTATGACGAATAAATATTTAGTATTAAATGTTGTGCTAAAATGCGTATATTCCCCTAGCGAGTTTACACAATACTGTCGGCGGCGGAGCGGAGCGGCAGCCGCGCGCCGGACGGTCGCTATCCGGTCCGAAGAACGGCAACGTCGCGTACCGGAGTTGGAAGTGTCGCAACGTTGCGCGCCGTCTACGGTTACCTAACTTAGCTAGGTGCGGCCGTGTGCGTGTCGGTGTATCCCATACATCGTACTCGTACCTGACTACATTATATTTTGATAATTCTTACAGTGTATTCAGCGAAGTTTACCTTCCTGTCATTCATAACTCATCTCAATTGTAATACAATTTTATTTAGACTTTGGTACTATGTATGACCGTATTAAATACCTATCCTATATCTAATACTCGTTAGATCAGTGCTAACGATCAACTTCCGAATGCCTACAAGACCCCAGGTTCGATTTTAGAGTTAGATGTTATTATGTAGGTACTATGTGTTATGTACCTACAATTTTTATTGCTTGCTATGGACGTCCACTAGCCATACCTTGCCCACAGTGTGTCCTCGTAGTCACACATTAATGACAAATGACATGAGCTCTGGAACATTACTGGAACATAATTATGATGCAGACCACACACTCGACACACTAGCCTATTGGAGAAAACATGTAGTTCTTGTGAACATCACGATCGTCAGCCTGCTAATTTTTTTTTTTAAACGTTGCCCCACATTAGTATTTTCTCCTGTGCCGTGGGTGCGTTTACAAACATACAAGTTCACATACACAATGACACCCAGATCCGAAACAACAATTTGTAGATCACACAAAATGTTGTTCCGTGCGGGAATCGAACCCGCGACACGTTGCACGGCAGCTGGTTGCCCAGTCACCGCACCAACCGTGCAGTCGTGTGCACCACTTGTTCATATGTACCATATCATCGCTTACCACCAAACGCCGACCTACCTATAAAAAAAAAGTGCCGGAGTCCGGACAAACCACGTAGCAAAAGTAACATAGGCTCCACGTAAAAAGGAGCTTCCACATACGGTGTAAAATACTTTTATCGGTATAACAAAAACCTTAAACCTTCAAACCTTCAAGAAAAGAGCGTACTCCTTTTTAAAAGGCCGGCAACGCACCTGTGACTCCTCTGGTGTTGCGGGTGTCCATGGGCGGCGCTGATCGCTTACCATCAGGTGATCCGTGTGCTCGTTTGCCTCTTAATCCATAAAAAAAAATTAGAGTGATACCGGACAGAGTCCGTTAACATCTAAGGTACAGGCTCGGCCTAGTTTAGATATTAGTATTCATAAACTGTGTGTCTAATGTTTTTGTTACAATAAACACTTTTTATTTAATATTATTTTAGTCCCAGGATCAAGGTACTTCCAGGGACACCCTGTTTAGGACCAAGTGTTAGTAGAATTTGCTACGAGTCTGTGCTTGATTGAGCTACTGCTAAGTGCTAACACTAATCTTTATTGCAAAAGTGGTCATTAACTCGGACTGCCTCGTTGACCGAGTGGTCGCAATTGCGACTGCCGGGCAAGGGGTCTCGGGTTCGATTCCCGGGTCGGGCAAAGTACTACTTGGTTTTTAAAAAAATTCTCAGTAGTAGCACGAAGACTTGAAATGTGGTATATGGCAATAAGCTCACCCCCTATTACGTCGGACTCATAACATCAATAGTGCAAATTGGGCGTTTCATGTTGGCATTAAGTGCCGTAATGTGCACCTCTGCTTACCCCTTCAAGGCTTCTTCAAGGATAAAAAGCGTGATGTTTTGTATGTTCGTATGTAACGTCATTATCCATCATAGCAGTAACAAATTGTGACAAACTGCCAACTCTTCCTTTGCCCTGTGATGGGATCATCTCGGTTCGAGTAACTAAACCTGTAATTATGACATAACATACGGTATGTATGTTATGTCACGCATCACGCCTTTTATCCCCAAAGGGGTAGGCAGAAGTGTACATTATGCCACTGTACAATGCAACACCCCCTTTTCACTATTTATCTTATGAGTCCCATGTAATAGGGGGTGAGCCTATTACCATATACCGGGCACCAAACTCCGTGCTACTACTGAGAATATTTTTAAATCCCAGTAATACTTGGCCCGACCCGGGAATCGAACCAGAGACCCCTTGCCCGACAGCCGCACTTGCGACCACTCGGCCAACGAGGCAGTCAGTATTTATGACTGTAATTATGACTAAACCAATTACCAGTGCCTACGTGTATATGCTCACAATTAAATATAAACAGTGACTGTGTAATTAATGACCACCGCAGAACTTAATGTTCGTCACTTAAGTACAGTTATATACAAATATATAGAGGTATAGTAGCTATGTATAACTAGAGAACACATGTGTTATTTGTTAATTGCTACACATTTGTTATTATTTTCCCCTTATTTAATGACTCGGCTGATTGAATAACAACACAAATCCTTGTTTCTATGATTTCTATAAACTACACCAACTAAGGCCGCTCGTCCACGAGCTACTTAAAAGCGTGACAGCATCGCTACTTACTAGCATGAGTTACTTTTGGTCGCACTTTGCGACTGTGTCGTGCTAAGTACGACGGCATCGCTACAAAAAAAAACAGCTTGTGGGCGAACGGCCTAAGACACCTGTGTTTCTGTAAGAAATAAAAACAATAACTGATAAAATAGAAAAATACATTTTATTTCAGTAAAAATGGTTCAAGTTTGTCAAAAAAAGATACGACATTAAGTACAATTAGGTTTTCATGTCACTCTCCCTGAACTTAACTTTGTCAGTCTCCAAGACCAAACTCAGATCACAAACTGTCCTTAAAAACCAGATTTATGAATGATACTTCTCTGATATTTTCTCTGTTGGTATTTTCAAAATGTCGTAGATAACTGGTCTGATCATGAATAAGGTATCACCCTGGATCCGTTTGGAAAATCATAACTGACATTCAGCTAAATGCGATTTAGACTCAGTTTACTCAGCGCCGCCCCCAACCTGATTGGGCAAAGGTCTGGATAAAGTATGATTCAGGTGATATCAGTAATCGGTATCTGAATCAGGCTGTGTGTCCCTCGGCTTGATGATCCCCAGCTTGGTGGCGAGCGCGGCGACATTGGCGCGCACCTCCTCCTGCACCAGGTTGAACGACATGGCCAGCAGCGCTATCCCGAACAGTAAGTACAGCGAGCACAGAGCTATGGAGTGCACCGCCGCTGCCGGGTCGTCCACACTCTGACCCTACGCACAATATGTAAAAGCTTGAATTAGTACAGCAATTTTCATTTTGTACTCTAATAGCCTGTAAATAAATGTAAGCAATGTTCGAATAAGATCTTTTCTTTACACTAAACCTTAACAGGCATTTTTGAAATGCCATAAATAGAATTGTATAATTATAGTAAAATAAAAAATGTTCTTCTCTAAGCTGGCAATGTTATAAGAATATAACCTGAGCAGGCACGAAGTCGCCAAAGCCGATGGTTGTGAGTGTGATGAAACAGAAGTAGGCGGCGTCCAAGTACTCCCAGCTCTCCCAGCTCTTGAATAGGAACGTTCCCGCCACGATGTACGATGCCACCAGGAACACGCACAACCAGATCGGGACCGGCTTTATCTTCACCAAAACAATATACTACTAATAAATATACTTTTAAGGTATAAAAAAAATATTAAGAAAAACTGGTCATCAGTTACTCACCTCCTCCTTAACTACATCGGAAGGCGGGTGGTATATCTCAGAAGCTCGTGAGCCCCATGCTGACAAAGAAAAAGAGAGATATTAGCAAAATGGTAAGTTTCAATACCTAGAGAGAAAGTTTCAAAAATAACGTAATAGAAAAATCTCTTCTGATACAAGAATAGTTCTTAAGAATATTTGATGTTGGTATTCATAATTCACCTTGGGGTGGCCTACTGCGTCGCGGCACCACCGCCACCTCGTCGCTCCAGTCATCTCTCTCTACAGAGGGCGTCTACAAAACAAACCAAAACATCTTCAATCTTCCATAATACTGCTAAGTCTCTTTATAAAACTACTAGCTTTTACCCGCGGCTTCGCTCGCGTCACAAAAAGATAGAAAGTAGCCTATGTGACATATACCAATACATACAACGCCATCTATACCAATACTTTTGTTTTCCCTCGGGAATATCAAATTTTTCCAGGATAAAAAGTACCCTATTATTTAATCCAGATTTCTAACTTTACGTCTGCAAAAATTCAAAGCAATCGGTTTAGTAGTTACGGCGTGAAAGCGGAACAAACAAACAAACAAACTCACTTTCCGATTTATAATATTAGTAAGGATACTCTACTAGGTAGGTGTTACATACACGTGTACGGTATCTACTGTCGTCCACAGTGTGCAGTCTCCGCAGTGGGCGGCGCGGCTCGGGGGGCGGAGGTGGTGGTCGCTCCTCGTCCCAGCGCTCACTGTCGTACATGGCGGAGCGAGCGCGGCGCTGGCGCCGGTGGGACCGCTCCCACGGCTCCTCACGCTCCACGTACTCCGACCTGCCTCTCTCCGCCCTGAACAAACCTTACCTTTTAACGATATTGTCCTATGACACGACCGATGTACGGACTGTAACGCGTACCTCATATCACGTCTCGACCTCCTGCCCTTCGGATAGTCGAACTCAAAATCCTCATCTTCTGGATCATACCCGCGATCTCTGTAACCATACAGTTCCTCTCGCTCCCTCCGCCGCTCTCTCTCCAATGCCTGTCTTTCCTTATAGTTCTCATAGTCCACGTCATGTAGATCATGCATCTCATACATATCTCTGGGATCATCTTCGAAATGTCTCTGATCATCGAAGTCTCGCCGCGGCCCATACTCTGGCTTTGCTTTCGCTGGTCGAGGTAGAGATTTGCTACGTAACTCAGCTTTTGAAGATATTTTCATGTGATGAGTTTCCAAGTCTTGCAATGCCGCCTCTAGGTCTTGTAGTGGTAACGAAATCTTAGGGAACTCCTCTGCAAAGATTGAATCAAGTAAGACTACAACTCTACCGATGACCTCAAAAGACTTAATTCGATATCGCTAACCTGCTCTGTCGTCATCATCGTATACGTCTCGTCCCTCTCGGCCATGCTTCTCATAACGGACTGGTGACGACTCCTCCAAGTCGTAGTCTCTGGCTACTTGAAAGAAGGAAATGTTACTGATGTACAATTAAGTATAAGACAATTTCGCAGAGATAAGTAATATGTGAAGCTACCATGAAGTCTGGCATGCGGTGGTGGCTGCGACCTGGTGCGCGGGAGTGAGGCGGCGTGGTTCGCGGGGCCCCGCGGCCTGCGCACGCGCCCACTGCTGTACCCACTGTCACGATACCTAACAACACAACGTTTATTGAGTTCAAACCATAATATATTACTTAGGCCCCGTTCAGATTCAATTAATCTATACTAATATTATAAAGCTGTTTTTTTGTTTGTTGGTTTGTTTGAACGCGCTAATCTCCGAAACTATTGGTCCGATTTGAATATTTTTTTTGTGTTGGATAGTCCATTTATCGAGGAAGGTTATAGGCTATAAAATATCACGCTACGATTGATAGGCGCCGAGCAGAGCGAGTGAAACCGCGCGGAATTAGATATCGAATAAAATTTAACATTACTCTCATGCCTGACTAAACGTATTTCGAAGCGTTAATGGTATACCTATTATAGTGCCGAAATCATAAAAAAGTCAAAACATAAATTCCAATACACTATTTTACAATTTACAAGTGTGTGTGAATAGACAAATTGACACGAGCGTTTGTAGAATAGCAAATAAGTGCTTTGCTGCACCAAAACGTGTCACTGAAGTCCAAATAACCGATCCTTTTTAGACAGTTACATCGGGAGTCCCTAATTCTTCGTATGTGTTCACAATAAAGACCCTGGTAAGCAGGTATGAGCAGCTATTGAGTGTTGTGTACCTGCAGTCGGTGTCTGAGTGCGCGCGCTCGATGGGGCGCACGCGCCGCCGCGTCGAGCCGCGCACGCTGCCACCGCGCACCGACCGCCTGCCACAGGACAATATTACACCTGGCGGAGTCTGCGCTCTCGACTTGTTACATAACATCACGCCTTTTATTCTCGAAGGGGCAGGCAGAGGTGCACATTATGCCACTGTACAATGTAACACCCACTTTTCACTATTTATGTTATGAGTCCCATGTAATAGGGGGTGAGCCTATTGCCATATACCGGGCACGATTTCAGACTCCGTGCTACTACTGAGATTTTTAAAAACCCAGTAATACTTTGGCCGACCCGGGAATCGAACCCGAGACCCCTTGCCCGGCAGTCGCACTTGCGACCACTGGGCCAACGAGGCAGACTTGTTACAAACCTTACATTACACATTTAGGAAAATCCCAAGTGAAATTTAGTGTTCAGCACTAGATGATAGTGATCTGATGAAGAATTAAATATGAAAATGTACTTAATTGTGATCAAAACAGTGTATGTTAGTCTGTCAATGTTATATGTTGCAATGATGGTATGATAGTGCACCTCGTGGAGGGATGGTGGCGGTGGCGGCGCTTTGGAGGGCGAGTGCACACGTAGCAGCACACGCGCCAGTAGAGGAACCTGGAACATTTCGTTTACATTACAACCATAATATACATAATATGGAGTTTCTTGCTCGTTCTTTGCCATTCGAATCTACTTTTTGGAATGAGCACCTAGCTTCACCTAGTTTCACTGACGGACTGACTGACAGACTATTATTTATTTTGTATTTGTTGACGTTTCAAAAGTACCAAACTATGGTTTAATTGAAATAAATGCGTTGACTTTGACTTTGATTCTATTTTGTAATCGAGAACTCGAGAGTTACGTAATAATACCCTGAGTTAATCCTCAAAACCTTATTCTACACTAACTCTACAGCATACAAATATCGATTATTTCTCTATTTCTCTTTTCAGTAATAAATACAACACTAATCGATAAGCGCCTTTGAATATGTTGCTAGCAACGTAAATATCCACATCTTGCTATTGAGATATCGCAAACACGTGTCGTGTAAACAAATTTTATAAAAGATATTGTTTATTATATTGTTAGCGACCTGAATGAGGACGCCATGACGTCACCGATGTTGGACAGACACAGCAACATGAGTGGAATGCCCAGGATGGCGTAGAATATCGTCACCACCTTGCCCGTCTGCGTCTTGGGCGCAATGTGCCCGTAACCTGCGAACGTAATTCAAATAGTTATTATAACCTTATTGACTGCCTCATTGGCCGAGTGGTCACGTGGTAAGGGGTCTCGGGTTCGATTCCCGGGTCGGGCAAAGTATTACTCGATTTTTCATAAAATTCACAGTAGTAGCACGGAGTCTGGAATTGTGCCCGGTATATGGCAATACGCTCACCCCCTATTACATGGGACTCATAACACAAATAGTGAAAAGTGGGTGTTACATTGTACATTATAAAGGAGATTGCCCGTTTTATAAGGGAAGTTGGGTCCCAGTCCTTTTTTTGTATCTTATCAAACGGATGTGGACGTAATGTTTAACTATTAATTAACTTTAATTTTATTCAAAAGGTGAAAAAAAATTATTAAAAAATAAGTTATAAGTTAAAATGTGAATGCTTCAAACATGATGATCTATTTTATTGTAACTATAACATCTTTGTATACCATGTTTTTACGCAAATAAATGTCTTTATCTTTAGCTATCATAAAATTAGCTTTGTTATTCAATTACTAATACTTGTAATTTTTCAGATTTCTGTGTGCATTTTTATTTACAATTTATTCTGTATCTACTGAAGTAGGTACAATGCAATGCAATACAATGAATTGTATACCGTACAATACGGTACAATCTGTACAGGTAAATAAAATTAGACTGTCTGTTTGTAATATTAAAATAACCGCTTCTTACTACATGCATATAAATATACATACGATACAATTACCAAAACAACATTTGTGACAATTTTTATCTGTCTGTTTGTTTGTACTGGCTAATCTCTGGAATAGCTGGACCTATTCTGACGGGACCTTTATTGGCAGTTAGCTGATGTACTAAGGAGTCACATAGGCTAATTTTATTTTAGAAAATTAAAACAAGAAATTGTTATGTCCTAAAATTCATATTCTACGCAGACGAAGTCGCGGGCAACAGCTAGTAGTAATACATAATAATGTGTACAATGGCGATTCTTGTAATAATTTCTTATAGATAGCATATAATGTAAACAAATAAACAAAATGTTTTATTGAAATAAAGTAGTTACTAGGTAGGTAGGCCATATTTTGACAAAATATTTGTGACTAGCTCATAAAATGTTAGAAACCGGTCGAGCGACGAAAGGAATAAACAAAGCTATCTGCGAAATACATAAAAAGAACAAATACTATGAACTCGATAACGGGCGAGTTCACTCTCACTGCTATTACGTCATCACATCTAAATATATCGTAACCAGAATGTAGCGTATTAATTCGCCACCTTATAATAAGCATCGGTGGTTCAGTGGTAGAATGCTCGCCTGCCACGCGGGCGGCCCGGGTTCGATTCCCGGCCGATGCATCCTCTTTTTGTACATTTTAAAACATTTTTAATAAATTCTCAAGACTCTTTTGTAATTTTCTTTTACGAACAAATAGTTATAAAGAAACATTTTAAAGTATTACAACATTTTACAATGGAATTAAAGTTTGTGGGTTAGTGGTGTTGCTGTTAGCAATACCTTTTACTAGCAGTAACAGTAAGGTAATACAGTATCGCAATAACTTGGGAATTCCGTGAGTACCCCGCCGGCACGGTGGCCGGCCAGCCACCGCCGGCTAATTAATACAACTACAAGTATCAGGACCGCGGCCCACGTGATATCATACACTCATTATAATATTTTCGTGAATACATTGGCCTTGACATCCATTACTATACTTGTCATTTTATAAGGATTCTTACCAATGTTTTGTTGTTCTCTTGAGAACTGAAATTTGACATTGTACGATACAAAACACAGTTTCTTTAATTGTATGTAGCTACACATGTTTTTGTGAACCGTAGTTAGACTTTTTACTAAAAGTTGATTTATCTCCTTTCCGTGTCGCGGAGAACCTAACGGGTAACCGGGACTCCGGCTCGATGCAGGAGAAGGAACGGGGTGGTTTTTAGTCAGTAAGAGTCCGACACTCCCTCCCGCTTCACCCAGGCGGGACCAGCCATTCGATGATGGTACCCTCTTTAAAAAAATCTCCTTTCCGTGTTATTAAAAGCATAAAGTACCTACTTGAAGTACATCCATCAAAGTATCATGCGTATAATTAATGTAGCGTGACCGACAAACTAGCTACAAAATTATAATGTTTGTGATTATCTTGGATCAATACAACAAGTTAGGAGATAACGTTATTATATTTTTTGTGAAATCGATCTGTTTCCGTCGTTATTTGAAACGGATACCACCGAGGTCGACTTCTTGCGACCTCCTGCTCTCCAAATTACCCATATATCTACCTACCTAGCTACTACATGTATACTATACTACATCTATGAGTGGTACATTACATTGGCTGAAGGTGGGGAACATACAGCATAAGATCATAACACAACAAACTGTTCCACGAGGATGGACATAATATAACTGATTGCATAATAAATAACTGAAAGTGCATTGTCTTCAATATTCTCTGGGAATCATAAAAAGTAAAACAGAAATAAAATACCTTCGACATTAATCATAAGATCTATACAGTTAGTATTATTGAATACATTGCGCCCTCCTTGTAAAGAATAAATTACATTTTGAAGCTGAAATCAGGCTTCCTGATACTCGCTGGCCGCTCACCTATGTTACACTAAGCTGACGATTACCTACGAGTAATTATAAGATATCAGCAATAGTAATAGCTAGTGTTGCCCAAATTCAGTCTTGGTCTTGCAGTCTTGGTCTTGTTCTTGCGTTTTTGCAAGACCAAGACCAAGAACAAGACCGCGTATTTTTAGCAAGACCAAGACCAAGACTGACCGTGCAAGACTTGAGCAAGAACAAGACATAGCCTGCAAGACTCTTGCGTCTTGCAGCTAGGACTTAGCGCTATTTCACTGAGTAGTTAGGTGTAACAGTTCGGTGTATAGGTAGGTACGCTTAGGAATTCTATGAGACGCAAAAAACTGTATCCAAGAATATGAAAAACTGGACCTATGCGCATTACGACTAATACCATAAACATAGCGAATAAAAAAATATCTATTAAAATCAAACTGAGTGCATGCATAGTTATGTTTTAACCATCGGCACTTTGATAATGCGGCATCAAAGGTTTTGTACTTACTTCTCAAAGAAATTTGCCGCTTTTCGGAAGTACAAGGTTATGATACACGCGCCGGCGGCTTCTTTTGAAATCTAAAACAATCGTTGCCGCCACGCCGAAATCATAACATTTGACACTATTTGATTGCCGCCATAGGGCGTAGGTATACTCATGCAAAATAATTTCGAATTTTAAGAGTACCTACAGGTGTTCCAAAGAATAAATAAGTTTCAGAGTGCTTAGAATGAAAATGAATACATTATACTGATCACGCAAGTAGTATTATGATTAGGATAAAATGGTAAGGATAGGTGTAGATGTCATATTAATTCATTCTAGTAAGTATATATTATAATATTGATTACTTATATGGTTTTAAACTAATTACTTAGGTACTATTATTGTACGAAAAAGTGTTCAAATATCACCCGTTTAATAAATATTGTAGCCACTTTTAAATATACTTGAAACGTGTAAAAAATTCTACAAAACTAATAAAATAATATAAAAAGCGTAGGTACTTACCTACTAATATAATAAAAAGCCTGCGATAAGAGTTTTGTATTACTTACAGCCCGAATATCTCTGAGAGAGATGATGAGAGTAAGTATTTACTAGCTGTGCCCGCGACTTCGTCCACGAGGAATAGTAACTTTGGAGGTATAGTGACGTTCAGGACTTATTTATTTATTTTAAACTTCTGTCATCAAACATACAAACGAACTCTTCAGCTTTATAATATTAATATAGATGTACGCCAAAACATTCACTTATATGTAAAGAATAGTGATTGGCACTAATTCTTTACATAATTATATTTTATTCACGCGTCGCGTCTGTACAAGTAGGTAATATTTTGTGTGTGTTTGTACGCCGCACGCTTCCATGGAAAACGTCATATAGGTCAGTTTTTCGAATTTCTTATCAAATCTTCAGTTATTTATTAATCTGCTTGATCTTTACTATGGCTATGTTAATTCAAGCTCACAATGTTCTAATTCTAATACGTTTTTCTAAGATTTAAAGTAAACTTTAATAAATAGTAATAGACTAATAGGTAATTGCAAGACTTGCAAGACTCTTGCTGCAAGACCAAGACCAAGACCAAGACTGGGAGCGCAAGACCAAGACCAAGACCAAGACCAGGTGTATTGGCGCAAGACCAAGACCAAGACTGGCTAAGTCTCGTCTTGTTCTTGCATTTGGGCAACACTAGTAATAGCCAGTGTAACAATGGTCTGATGTAGCACATAATTGGGTCATCATCGATAGCAACACAATGGTGCGGCCCTCACCGTCGACCTCCGTGATTCCCCAACACCAGACATGCTTGGACGTAGCTTGACCTCCACGCGATCCTCGCTATGTCCATTTACCATGATTATAAGCCTGATTTAGTTATTGAATAACTTTTAACTGATACTATTATCCTTACTAATATTATAAATCGGAAAATGAGTTTGTTTGTTTCGCTTTCACGCCGTAACTACTAAACCGATTGCTTTGAATTTGCAGACGTAAAGTTAGAAGTCCGGATTTAATAATAGGGTACTTTTTATCCCGGAAAAATTTAATATTCCCGAGGGAAAACAAAAATATTGGCATAGATGGCGCTGTGTATATCGTTATATGTGACATAGGCTGCTTTTTATCCTTTTGTGACGCCAGCGAAGCCGCGGGTAAAAGCTAGTAGACAATAAATTTTAAAAATTTAAATACCTATGTTATTTGATTACTATATGCCGCCTACAAATCAATCAAAGTTCTGAATCAGGATGCATCAACATTTTTCACAACCTATGCCAAACACAATGCTAAATTCTATCGGTTTTAGGATCACATAGCCGGCTGCCGTGCAACGTGTTGCGGGTTCGATTCCCGCTCGCGCTTTGTGCGATCCACAAATTGTTGTTCCGGGTCTGGGTGTGATGTGTATGTGAACTTGTATGTTTGTAAACGCACCCACGACACAGGAGAAAATCCTAGTATGGGGCAACGTTTCTAAAAAAACATAATAATGTAAAAGATATGTGAACTTTATTTTCTAGTGCCAAGCAATTTCCTGTAAAAATCGGGCATTCGCTGGATCTGGTACTAAATATTATCAGAATAAGGAAGAGGTTTATACGAGACAATATTTGTTTGAAGTGACTAAAATCAACCCTCACGGGGTGGTGGATGTAGTACCGCGACAGGAGCCAGTGAGGGCGCTGGTAAGCGCGCGTCCTTCAACTTACGACACGTCACAGCGCTGCAATCTCTAGCGGCGCTAAAATGGCGCTCCACTAACATACCGCTACAGTTACCCAACATCGTAACACTTACGTACTCGGTATTAATTACCTACTTACTGTTATCAACAATAGCCCAATCACAATGGAAGTACGACGTATGAACAAAAATCCCGTTGATGTATGTAATAGCATGTAATATATTGAGTAACTATTAGTCATATACACTCAGAATTAACTTTAACTACCTACTACACAGATGAGAAACTTTTATCCCACTGACTTGAATCGTAAATTCAATAGAATTTATGTAGAATCTACATTGAGAAACAAGTATCCCGTAATGCATTTACCTAAGTCAAGTGGTCAGTGAATCTTCTTCATAATCCCTAATTGATTAGGTCCCAAACGGATAACTATCCTTCATTTGTGCAGACCTAAAATCAAAAATGAATTATACTCAATAGAAGACACAGACCCTGAAAGAATCAATCAGTGCCATGTAACGTTGAGCACAGTTTTAGCGGCCCAGCGCGTACGCAAGTGCAGCTGAAATCAGCGGCGGGCAGCAGCACAACCCGCAGTTACACAACGTAGGGCGAGCAGAGCAGTCGCTCACCTAGTCCATGACTCCTACACAGTGATGTCTTGACTTATTCAAATTTATAAAAAATATTTTGTCCGTCCGTCCGTCCAAACGTGAAGTGTTTGTGCAATATTTTTTTTTTCTACAAAATGAATATCGGTTTGTATTTTATAATATTTTTAATTTATTATTTCCTAATTTCCTTTTTTATAATTTATTGCTCTTACTAAATAATTAATCATAGTTATTAAGAAGGAAACTAGGAAATCCTTTCCGACATAAACATTCCTAAGTTTCCGTATTTTAAACATTGTAAAAGTTAGATTTTTCTGCAAGCTTTTATTTAACTTGTAAGTTGTAACGTATATTAAAACGTATATCAGTCTGTAAGTATCTTACTAATACTAATCTACGAATTATTGAGAATAGACGTAGTAGTGTGTCCATACACAATGGTAGACCACACTGTCTATTCCAATAGTCTCTGTTGTGTACATATAATATTATCCTTGAGGTTTGCGCAACCCTCGCAGCCGCCCGCCCACGCGGTCCCGCTTCTATTCTACTCTAAAACATCATTAAATATGGCAAACACAGCAAAATGTCTTAAAATGGTCGTTGACTATTAAACTTCTTGTTTCACAATCTCCAGCGTGTATTTTGTGAAATGTCAACGTTACAAAGTTACCTGTATCTGTTGTGTTTCAATTGGCAATGATAACTTACTAATTAATAAATTGCCATCGAATTGCTTATACGAACAAATTAGTGCAACTTCTTCTTCACGCCATAGTTACGAACAATTTTCATCTAAGTTAGAATCCTTAACTTTCATGAATGTTACAATAACAAACTGTTATCGTATCGTGTTGCAAAGTGCGCACCGCTTCGATTACACTCATTCGCATTGTTAGCGGTTACTTATTTCCACACAAACGGCTTAAAACAAGTGATTTACTACTTCCGTTCACGTGAGATACTTTGTTACAACAACTGAAATATTTGTAACATATCTTCACTTATGTAGGTATTCATTAATTTATTTATTTTCTTGTTTATGCACAACGCAGACAAAACATACATAGACACTGCGTATCCCTTACGGGATTCCTTCCTGCTGCCCGGCGTATAGATACATATGATACAGTGTGTAGCACAAAAAAAAAACAGACAATAAAAACTAAAACTAAGGATAATTTATTAGTTATTAATATAAGTTCATGACTGCCATGTTTATGTTATGCATTCACATGCCTGAGATATCAAACATTGGACAATATTCTAAGCAAATAATGGATGCAAATGCAACATAATTAGTGACATTAAGCTGAATGTGGTTAAGCCACTAGCGACCGAGTTAAATATAGCAATGATCAAGGAAAAGTATTAGGGGTTAGAACCCTATACTCAGTACACCCTATATAAGTATAGGAGTTTGTAGCAATGCCGCAGTGGTAGCGTAGCATATTGTCGTATCTTTGTGCTTTAGCCCGTAGTACACCAGAACGTAGATCTACGCGAGACACTATGTGTTTTCTAATGTATCTTATATACAAGAGTTTAATACTGTTTGTAAGTCACTAACAGCACTTACTGCTTGTAGAAAATGAAAGGACACGGAAACTATTTCTCTCTTACTTCTCTATTTCTTACACACACGTCCTGTATCCCTGCGTCCCTGTGTCGCCGACAGTCGTTCACAATGTTCCTTGTCTGAGATATATCGAGTTTCATTGTTTCAATGCTTCATTGGTTTGTTTACTTCTGTAGATCCTGACTTTCATGGGGTTGGAATGAAAGCCCCCCCCCCTTTGGTGGGGTTTTCCCAAAATAAGTTCTTATGACATAGTGTTTGATAAGCATTTCCTGTGCAATAGCCGTTGTGTTGTGTTCTAGGAGTGACGTCACGAGTCTGATATCAATTGTTGATGTTTGTGCACCAGCCGCTGAACCAAACATTATAACATTACTGTAAACTGTAATCGTCTAACTACTAACTAAATTACATGTATGTATGTGTGTGTACATTTTTAAATCTTGCTGCTCCGGAATCTTTAAATACAATTCAAAAAAATCTAAATAATTCGGGAGCAATAGAATTTTGTTCCGCGTCCTAACTTATTGTACTAACTCGAACGACTTTAAAAAAAAAAACGTTACTCCACACTATACATTTTCTCCTGTATCGTGAGTGCGTTTACAAACAATATCACATATACATGACACCCAGACCAGCAACAACAATCTGTGGATCACACAAAGAGTTACTCCGTGCGTGAATCGAACGAAGAACGCCTCCTTTCATGCAGCAGCATATAGTTGCACAATGAACCTACTTGGACAGGACCTAAAGGGATCATCATTTGATGCCTGAATAAATAATAAATTAATTAAAAATCGCGAGTTACTCACGTAAACATGAGAAAAGCTCTACTAGTTTCGAACCACAGAGGGGTTCTTCCTCATAAGCAGCGTGCGCGATCGCGGCGATGTCACGCAGCCTACTTTACAGTAAGCTGCGTTACATAGCCCCGACCTAGTAGTAGTAGAGCTTCTCTTGGTATATTCACGCGAGTAACCCGCGTTTTTTAGTTAATTTAGTATGTCTCACGATAGTATATAATAAATAATTAATACACACTTCAGTACAACATTTCAAAAACTAATAAATATTGTTGGAACTAGTAATGAAGGATGTGATGTTCACATTGTTTTATATAAGTTTCCGTCGCAGGCTATTGGCTAATGAAGGTCTGTATTAATGTAATTCGTGATTTCAATAATAATGTAACTGCGGATATTTGTAAACTGTCGCGTCGTGCATGCGCCTGCGCCGGCTGCCGCTACCGCGCGGCGATTTGCATCATCTATGAACTAAGCGAGATATTACCAATTATATTGTTACAGTTGTTATACCACTACTAAACAATGCATTGATGTCATGTGATTGATATCAGCGCTCGATAGTTTGTTTGTCCTAATACAAATTAATTGGAGAGGCGAATCAATATACGTACGAAATAAACAGCTGGCAATTTAACTAGGATCCTTAAACAATTTGTATCTCCCGATAATATCGGAGTAAATAAAAATAAATAAATTATTATGTAGTTTTAATAAATTATATAGTTTCAAGTCATGCTGAGGCAGTAGCAGCGCGACAGTCGCCGCGTCGCGGGTTGAGAAATGCTGCTCATGAATATGAGCCTCTAGCATGGCTTGAAACTAGTCGAGTTCCTTGTCAAATAATTACGTGAGTAAACCGAAAACATAATAATTTATTTAGTATGTCTCACGAAAGTTATAATACCACAATAAATGTTGAACATTAATTATTACGAATCGTATTCAATTTGCTTTGTTGTGAAAGAACAACACTTCTATTTAGACCGTCTAGCTTCCTATGCGTATAAAAGTAAACCGTTCATTACAATAGATGTTCCGTTATTTATTTTTAAAACTTTTCTGTTTTTCAAACTCATGGTTATAATACAAAAATATAAACAATCATCGTGGAGATGTATGGATGGAATTAAATGCACGTGTTCTAGGTATGCATTGATTTACATTTTATCCGCGGCATCTATCTACAATAACATTCCTTCATGAACTCTGTTTCATTCAGCATCATTCCATTGTCGCCAGTAGATCTTATACTATTATATACAAAGCGGAAGAGTTAGTTTTATTGTTTGTTTGTTTGAACGAGCTAATCTCCGTTACTACAAGTCTGATTTGAATAATTCTTTTTGTGTTGGATAGCGCATTTGTCGAGGATGGCTATAGGCTATAAAATATCACGCTACGGCTAATAGGAGCTGAGCAGAGCGTGTGAAACCGCACGGAAGTAGCTAGTATAATATAAAGTTATAACCTCGTCAACAACATGTTATTGAGATAAAATGACTCATTGAACAGAACCTCTCCTATAAACAGTTTGGTTTCCTCGCACCATTAGTTGCCAATTAAATATGGTCGGCTTCTAGTTTTTGTGCTATTACAAAAACATTTGCTCCCTTTTGCTTCTGTTTTTCATTGGTAACAAAACCAATACTGCGCATGTCCGGGTTTGTATGTATTGACAATAACCATGTAATGGTGCGCTAAGACAATATTAGTCGCGTGGTGTGCCAGAGTAGAATTTGTCACCACGACTACACTTCCCGAAAGTGTCACTAGAGCGCCCGCATACAGAAAGGCTTCCCAATGCTAAGTTGTATTTAAATATCATGCCATCTCTGTCATTTTACAAAGAATTTGTAGTGACAGGACTACCTATACTTAAGTGCGATTTAAAGTTGAGTGGAGTTGAGTATTTAGACATACACTACACATATTTAATGGAGACCGAGCAGCAGCGGTCTATGATAATCCTAGTCTTTTATACTAGCTGTCATCTCCAACCCAATTGCCAATATAAGAGATCATGGCAAACCCCTCTATAGAGGAGACCCATAGCTCAGCAGGAGATTCTCATGGGATTCCGATGATGAGTGTCAATTAACATGAAACAGACTAGTCTGCAAGCTGGTTTTTTTTCTTATAGCAAAAGCCGGTAAACGAGCTGACGGATCACCTGATGGTAAGCAATCGGCGCCGCCCATAGACACCCGAAGCACCATGGAGTTACAAGTGCGTTACCGGCCTTTTGGGGATTGGGAATTTGAGGATTGTGGAGAATTCGGGATTCGGGAGATTATGGAGGGGGGTAATTGGGTAACCACACTCACACGACGAAACACAACGCAAGCGTTGTGCCACGTCGGTTTTCTGTGAGGCCGTGGTATCACTCCGGTCGAGCCGGCCCATTCGTGCGGAAGCATGGTTCTCCCACACTTGGTAAACACAAGAGCATTTTCATAAGTATGCAGTTAAACTTCCAGATATCAAGATAATGTGCTTTCCTTGTTATAAAGCAACTGTTGTTTGTGACAGGAGTATTATGGTGCGTGCTGGTGGTGGCGGGGACCTGCTCCGCCAAGTGGCACTGGCCGGAGAGTGAGGCGGCCGCCTCCGTGCGCATCGACACCAAGGTGCGCTTCATTGACTCCGAGCCCGACAAGTGAGTACAGTCTTCTACTTACATTCACACTTTATATTTCTATGAAACCGGGGGCTTTTTTTTAAGGGGGAAAATCATCGAATGACTGCTCCCGCCTGGGTGAGGCGGAAGGGAGAGTCACTCTTACTGACTAAAAACCACCCCGTTCCTTCTCCTGCACGTCGAGCCGGAGCCCCGGTTACCCGTTAGGTTCTCCGCGACTCCTAATCGGCAACAGCCCTATTGGGCCCCATCTGTGGTGGTCTGATGGCTCTTTGAGGCGCGCGCGGAACGCGACGCGTCGTACGCTCGGGTCTGTTTCTGGTCGGACGGAGAGCCACCCATGCTCGCCGTCCGCAGTCCCGCGCTTACGGTGGCCGGAGATCGTCCCGCGATCCCCGACGCCACCTGGTGGTAAGTGATTAGCGACATCCATGGACACTCGAAACCCTAGAGTGCGTGGTCGGCTTTTAAGAAGAAGTAAGTGTGCTCATTTCTTGAAGGTTTGACGGTCGTATCGGTTCGGACAATCCTTACAAAACTCGAGCAAAGTTATACACTGAGATTTCTGTACTCCGCTACTTCAGGTAGTTGTTGCTTCAGTTGTTTACATAACTTTACGTGAAGTAAACCTAGTTGCACTGTGACGACAGGATTGAATCGAAGCCGCAAGCGTAATGAAATGTAGATTGAGTTACAAATATTTCTTGCGAATAGCAGAGACTAGTGCACTTTGGGCCAATGTAAATACATACATTCAAATATTGGGATGTGTAATGTTTGAAAAAACAACCAAATTATTTACTAAATTAATGTTAGTAATTTAAATGAACAGCTACTAAGTTTTTACTTGCCCAATATTAAGCAAGTCTCCAAGTGTGGCTCGGCCCCGTTTCCTGATGGTCGCACACTTAGTTAACTTAACTATTTAAGTTACGATACCGCCCTACAATATGAGAAACACAACATCTTCTGTTATATGTATGCGTTATATGTATAACACAAATAAATACTTCATTATACACTATTCGCCCCTTACATCGTAGACATAAGTATGGTTTAAGTGTAAGTCAATACATAAGTAATGCTAGTGTTTACTTGGCCACAGTTGTAGCAACAATCGGTGTTTACAAAGTAAAGCCCTGCGACGTGTGACCAACACGACTGTATAACACAAGACGCCTATATTTTAATAGTAGCAATGTATTGCCCAATTTGGTAGTTTCCAGGGTATCAAAATTAAAAATCTAATTAGTCCGTCAGTTAGATAATGAAAAAAATATGACACGTATTTTTTTATTTCCTCGTATTAAGTTGCAATACTTAGATAAAATGGCACTAAGTTTAGGAGTGGGAGGTCGTTACGTCATAACGTGCTACAACATGTGGCACGCTGTGACATCACACGATATTTCAAATAAATATATCATAGAAAGTATTTAATTTTATGAGAAAAGAAAAAATACGTGTCTAAACTTTTAAATTAATGTCCTAGACGGACATTGAAATAAAATTTAGGAAACTACCCTATTCTATACTATTTACAATTAATACGTTTTCATTAAGACAGTCGATATTTACGTCGTGAATCATTCGTGGTCCAGCGCTTGTATATTTATTAATAACTAATTATCATTTATAATAACGACCTAGATGACTAATTGGGCAGACAGGACAGTAGCCTTGTAAGTGGTGACTCGCGTGTGGCCTTCGATATTCTGATTATACCAAACTTTAGAGGTATATTAAATACGCCTTGTAGGGAAGGATTACCTCCATTAAATACTAATTGTCAATGTCGCGATCTAAATAGAAATATAAATATGCTTATTTGTTACTACAAATACTAATAATAATAAATATATAACATCACGCCTTTTATCCTCGAAGGGGTAGGCAGAGGTGCACATTATGCCAATGTACAATGTAACACCCTTTTCACTATTTATTTTATGAGGTCCCTGTAATAGGGAGTGAGCCTATTGCCATATACCGGACACAATTCTAGACTCCGTGCTACTACTGAGAATTAAAAAAAAACCAGTAATACTTTGTCTGACCCAGGAATCGAAACCGTGGCCCCTTGCCCGGCAGTGGCACTTGCTACCACTCGGCCGACGAGGTAGTTAAATATAAATATAATATATAAATATGCTTATTTGTAGAATATTGTATAAGTTCGGACGTGAGTGGAATATCCTGACCGTTGAACCGTATGAAAGTGGTTTACCTCTATATTGGTTAGTAACAGTAATGGTTACGAAAGTCGACGTAGTGCGTAAATTCATTAAAATGATACTTGTTCGCTGTGTAACCTTGGAACACTTCGAGTATAGTGCCACGCGTCCCTTCGCGGCGAAGCTTTGAGGAAACCAATGCTTCAGTGCGCAGTGGTGCAGTAGTGGCCGGCGCGGTGTGGGCGCACTGGGCGCCGCCGCACCTTGGCCGACATGCTCCACACAATGGGTCGCACGCCGCAGAATGGCTTGCGTCACTCCGCACGGGTTTCATTTCGCTAATTGACTAGCAATTCTGTGTAGGACACCGTAATTGCCAATGTGATTACAACAATAATAGCCAACAAGTGGCAATGCAATGGTGACGTCACCAGCTACGCAGCCACCCCCTGCCTGATTGCGTTCGCGCCGCCCGCCCGTGCTACGCTACTTGCGTCAAACCTCTGAGTTCAGCTAGATATGAACAATAGTTTGCTAGAAATAATCAGGCAATTGTATTCATATTACTACGTTAATGTGTCCTATTAAATCTCAATTCTTTAAAATCATGTAATCACAGGAAACATATATCACTCACACACACATAAGGTTTCCCCGCTCACACGCAACTACACCTAATTTAGGTTTTACGATAATTATAGCTCTGAGCAAGTATAGACATGCTACAATGATTATATTGATCAAAACTTAAATACAAAATATGACTCACACAAAATTGCAATGTGACGAAAAACCAATCGCAAAATCTTAAAATGGTTGCGTTGTCAGGTGGAATAGTGAACGAGTGGTGATTGACAATTATAAAGTAGTGTAAGTGAACGGGTCGCGGTGTGGTGTAAGTGTGCTTACACTAACTACATTTGGCAATGGTGACGGATCGATCTCTAGTTGCGCAGGTACTGTAGCACTCACTAATTCTATAGTACATTGGACTCGCTATGTGAAGCAATTAACGATCACTATAATTACTCACGAGCATTTTACCATGTTGTTAGCAAATACGTGTTAAAGTCTTCATGGGAATATTAAAGTAAAGTAAGTCGACAACATTAAAGAGTGCTGCAATTAGTATTGACACTTTGTTGTGACGTTGTTAGAAGGTACTTTGAATGTCAAAGTGTCGAATGGTTCAGTTATTTGACAATCGCGGAAGGTATTGTCTTGGGAAAGTTTATTATTATTACAAAATAAATAAGCTATAAACATATTACTAAACGTTAATGTGTTCCTTTAGAATGGTCCAGTTACGAGAGTTAGTTGTACTAGTCGTTACGTAGTCATTGTAGCATTGTGTTTGTTTATGATACTGATATTTGACAATGTGTTTCCAGAGAGGGCGATAAGATAGTTCGCAACGTGCAGTTTGATGATACGTTCAGGCAGCCGGTGGAGACGGACGGGTTCTACAACCGGCCGCCCGGCTCCGGCCGCTACCCGGTGCGGGTGGAGGCGCACCGCGCGCCCTACCGCGTCGACGACAACGGCATCTACAGAGTCAGCATGTGAGCTACCAGTGCATTACCAGATACTCTCTCCTAACCTTACGCTACAACAGTTGCACTCATTATTTTATTCACTACAACCTCCAAGAGAATCTTCCATTTCCCTCAAAGATTGAATAACGTGCTCTTCAAGTACCTTTCCCCAGTAATTTATTTTAACAAACTCTACATTAGCTGAACCTAATAAAGTAATCTAAGCAGTTACTTACTTTAGTCTTCTTTATAATTTGTTTATTGTCTTGTTACAGTCAGCACAAGAACATGTTATCCGACGGCACGCTCGACTCCCTGCAGTACTGCAAGTGTGTCAGCAACCTTGACTGCCACCCGCGAGCCGACTCCCGGGTAATTTACACTATTTATTTACTACTTATTACGTAAAACGCAGTACAGTCTACCACATACGTATACTGTTACTGACAATTTAATTGACATCACCGTCGGTTACATGGTTTCAGAGTGCTTGCGGAGTCGGGAAGTACCTGTGCTGTTACCCACAAAACAAAAATAAAGTCCATTCAACACACAAAAACCGTAAGTCTGAGCTAAGCTCATGTTGTCACAGTACATTTCCATGTTCGGTCGAGCACTAATGAATAAGTTCCGTGCTCTCTTCCACAGAATACTTCAACGAAGTCGAGGACGACCGGCCGATGCTACTGCCGGGACAAGAGAACTTAGCGCGCCCGTTCCCACCCCCGCCTGCCTCCGCACTCAACGGTCTGTTCGGCTCGTTCGGACCTGGACACGGCCACGACTCCTCACACATCGGAGTCTTCGAGAAACCACTTGGAGTGCTCGTAGGTCCCGATGGACCCACGGGAATGGTGGGGCCACAAACCAAACACAAACAAGCTGGAGTTCTTGTTGGACCCAATGGACCAACCGGCATAGTAGGTCCAGTGTCAGACGGAGCGCAAAGCGAGACAGCACAGAGCGGAGTCTTAATTGGTCCCGTCGGACCCTCGGGAATAATGGGTTCGTATGGCCGCCGACCAGTGCTTGTGGGACCAGGTGGACCCACAGGATTATTGGGCCATCCAGAGGCCGCAGCCCAGGCATTCTAGTAGGGCCGGGTGGGCCTACTGGTATCATCGGCCCTGCTTATGGCAGGCAACAAGGAATCCTAACGGGACCAGGCGGCCCCACCGGTTCCATCGGGCCAGGCCGACAAATATTAGTTGGTCCCAATGGCCCCAGTGGTCATGTTGGACCTCAAGGATACTTCGGTAAATAATCGTGCCATGTGTCGTGTGATGACTAATAGATGTATGGAACTAACAAGTTATAATGCTGTCGTTGACATATAAGACTATGGAGTGTAATATGCACCACAACCAGTGTAAGTACATGTAAATAATTAGAGTAAATAATATTGAGTGTGGTCCTGTGACAACCGCGACAAACCCGAGCTGTGCACGCGGCGCTACCAGCTCGCAGTGGCCGCTGCGCTGAGTAGTGAGAGCCGACTGTTGCAGGCTGCGCGCGCATCAAGCGGAAGAACGCCTCGACGGCTGGCACGACAATGGAGCCCGCCGCGGCCGACGCACAGCCCACACCCCAAGAGCACACGATACTCAACAAAGACGACAAGCACACATCATGTTACTGTGACAAATAAACTACACTAGGAAACTATTTCTTTCTTTTTCATTCATCTTCTGTTATATCACGTCATGTGGTATAACAAATATGATTATAACTTATTACTGTGTAATAAAATTATACCTCTGTCGGTTACATTGGGAAAATACATTAAAGTTATTAATTTCAATGAAGCGTTTGAACTCTACGGATGAACTACCTGAACTGGCGATACCAATACAATTATAGCGATATTAACAAGCTGACATTCCACGAGTCAGATGTGTCGAATTTATAACGAAAACTAAGCGAACGTTCACCATAGAACTCGGTGTAAAAAATGTGACGGATGGCGGCTGGCAGCGCGCCAGACGCCGGCCGCGGTGCACCTACACTCTACACCAGCCATCATACTGCGATTGTGAAGAATAGAAGGGACGCCTAGTAGACCCTGCTCAGTGCTCAGAGACCTTTATTGCATGTATATTAATTCACACTCACTGCACTGAGCGTGGCACCCTTTTACTTCTTCATTATTTTACATGACGTTTACAAACAGTACGTATTTCTTGTTGCCTACATATACTACATAACAGAATTATAGAAGACTATATCGCTCTGCCGATTCGGATTTCTGATCTCAGAGTGATCACGAATGTCATCATGTACTGTCTCATACCTCCACCATGCTAGCGAAGTCGGTAACTTCTTACATAGATAACTTCAAACCGTTCGAATTGGGCCTTCTCTGAGTCCCACTCTGTATGTACATCATAAATCTGTCGTGTTAATATAATGCTCTAAATCCCGTAAACTAAAATTCTATTGCAAAATCGCGTCGATCGTTAATTCAGACCTAGTTTCAGAGTTAGTAAACTAGCTGTGCCTACGTATTCTAATTATACGATAATGTAATCAAGATGAACGGACATTAATAGTTCCTCTTCGTGAACTGCCTTTCCAACAACATCCGCAGTTTCACTATTCAGTCAGGGACTCACCAATAGTGGTGATGACGATGATGGAGTAGAAGAGCGCGCCTGTGAAGTCCACTGGATGTGGTCGGTGCTCTCATTGCCGTCCCAGCCACGGACCTTCATCTCCAGCAGGATCGCGTTCTCAAAGTCCTGCCAATAACCCAATGATACAATATCAACATTCCATTGCAGACTTGTGAAAATATAAATAAATCGACACTAAAAATCATCAAATCATAAAGTATACGAACACACAAACATTGAGAATATTATTATGTGAGCGTTACTCTGCGCCTCCATCTCGCAGTAGCACTACTGGATCAATAGCTTTGAAATAGTGCTCTGTCAGGTGCGCACGAGTGGGTGTTTATTTATTTACGTGTATTTATTCAATATTTCTCATGATCTGCGAGAAGTGTGGAAAGTGTCGTCACAGATTCTGATCTGTATTTTATTCTTTTCATCAACTCTGTGTTCACAGAAAAGCGCTACAAATCTAAAAATAAATTATCAACGAAATATTCCGGGAAATATTGATCTAAATTGGGCTGGACAATATTCTGCGAACATTCATTATGTAGATAGGTACGCTATTAAGAGATGAATCAGGTACCTTGAGCATGTCGACGACCTCAGAGGTCCAGTTGGTCTGGTTGAAGAGTGGCACGGTGCGAGTCATCGTCCAGATGCTCTGCGTCGTGTTGCTGCGGATCTGAGATATGTTCTGCTTCACCTGCAACATCGAGGCAGACATCTTAAGTACAGCTACATTAAGTATTATCATAGAAGGTGCAGCTTAATTAGTTATTAGCAGCAGAGTAATTTTGACGATATCTTTGGTTACCTACAAAATAGATACTGAGTGACATATGTTATATTTCATACTGTGGGCTGAATAACTACAACAATTTCGATAAACATAATGACATACATTACACATTTCAATGAAAATGGGAATTCACAGTAGAAGACAGACATACACAGATATTTGTAAACATTCAAACTAGCGATGAATATCACTAAGCAGATGGTGGTGAATGACACACGTGGACTAGGAACATATAGTATTATTGTACGATTCACATAAATTGATTTAAAAAGACTTTAATTGCCTAACTAATCATTCTGATCTTTAGTTCTGGGTGAAGCACCGTCTAGCGGCTGTTCATAATGGTTGCTTCTAAGAACATTCTAATTTAATGCCCATTTTATGACGTTTGTTTAATTAGTGACGTGGGCTGCCTAGCCACGTGTACCCAATCCGACGAGTATTTAAAAAATTTTGTACTGACTCACACATCAAGGGGGGGGCAAGGAATTGGACGCTCATTGAAGTCGCCTCGACTATCATCTTGTATCAGCCCACACAGGTTCAGTGGAACAAACAGATTGCTGTCACAGAGCAACGTTTCATGTTTTCATACAAAGTCCTGCTCAGACAGCTACTGTGTGCTCTCTACCCAATCGCCATCAGAATCGTTAATCAGCTGGGTTTGATGGCTGCGTGGCACCGTGCCACGGCTTGATGAAACAAGATTTATAGCGCTCCATGTGCCGTACAAATAACTTCTTTTATAAAATTAAGTAGTTGTTGTCTAACAACTGTCGTAGAAGAGTATGATGTTTAAAGACAGTAATAAGAATACAAGGTCTTCACAATGAGGAGAACATCAGTTCAACGTCATCTGTAGTGCATCTACAGATAGATGCTTCGTAAATCCGATAGACTGGTGAAGATATTGAATCGGTCGAGATTTATTGTCTAAACTATTCAATATCTTAAAGTACATATTGGCAACGTAAGAATTCTCAGATAAACAATACAAAGATATTCTACCTTCATGTAACCATGGTCTTCATTTAATTCTTGACTGTTTATTTATATGTAGTAAAGTATGTACATAATATACGTATAAGTGTGAGTGTGCACCTCTCTTTCGTGCTGGGCTTCCAGTTTCTCGAAGGTGACGGCTCCCAGGATGCAGTAGGCCACCACCAGGCTGATCATCACGAAGTGGGAGAACACCACCGAGCATAGCTTCCATGTGTAGTACAACACCTGGCGATAGAATCATGTAATTATATTCTAACTGAAATTAAAACAATAGCTACATATTAAACAGTCATAACTACACAAAATGTATACTTGGGACTAATTCTTATACAGGTTCTTTGAAGAAAATAAATACCTTTATATGGTTTGTTGCTCTGCCAGTAGAGCTAGTTCCTGCTCATATCATATACTTGTAACATTCAATACAAAATGGAACCTTTATGGTCGTAATTTATTGTTTAGTTGCGGTCACTTTGTGGTATTTACTACAAATATTTACGAAGCCGAGCATTACATAAGTAATGTACAATGTACACAAACAGTAAATAGTGGCACGCGCCAGCGCCGGCGCCGCGTACATTGAATTAATGTGTCAAAACAAGAGATTAGTGGGCGCACGACGCACGCGCACCGTCACTTCAATAGGAGTCACTTGCTCAACGGAGAGTATTCGACAGTTTCGGCGCTGCAAGTGATACAACTAACTAACTCAGAGAATGAAAGTATAAGACGGTGCTTAGCTGTTCTCTACTACTAGTCTATTAAGGAGTTTATTACAATATGTATAGGTAAAACAGTTACGTTTTTCTAACGATTATTACTTGTATCTTGCATAGGGAGCGATAGTCTATTCTATTACCATACATTGGGTAACATTTTAGATTCTGTATTGATACGAGCCGGGATCCCTTGTTGCGGTCTCACTTGCTACGACTACTACGACGACTACGACGATTGCTACGACAGTCTCGTAGAGGGAACATGTGGTTCCACAAACTTTTATACAAATGAAATAAATGTACAATTTCATTAGAAAAGATGGGACAAGAGCGCATGCACCTACTTTACGTAGCCGCGGCTGGCTGCTACGTCGCCTACGAGCCCTACGGCAAATGTTACGAGTTACAACTCCGATAATTTCGGTAGCAGCTAAATCAATTTACTTACCTCTAGTATACAACTGAGCTGAATCTAGTTAGCAATCTGTAGAAAGCAGCTCACTGTTTAACAATTAGCGTATAATACATAGGTGATGTAGATACTAAGTACCTAATACTTTGTGGGACATGTAAATTAAAATGCATCTGAGCCATTCCGTGATTGACATAAAAGTTGTTGTCCCTAAGAATTATTAGGAATGGAATGAGTAGCTTACTTTGGCACACTTGCTGGGCGGCGGTAGCGGGTACTCCCCGCGCTCCACGCGGCCCTCCCGGCGCGACATGCTGCCGTCGAGGGTAGCTCACCAGCTCACAGTCTCCATCTCCACTACACCACCACACCACCGACACTGGTCACACACCGACACTCACTGCTCTAACCACATAAATCCCGGTGTTTACGCAGCAGCTCACTCCTGACGCTGATGCGAATAACAGATCAAACGGCGTTGATCCCACAATACAGTAAATTTATACAGAAGCGATAAATCTCCCATAGAGCGCGTTATGATGGTAGTGGCGCGGTATGCGGGCCGGCCGCTGGAACACTGGCGGATATATCGGGAGCCGCGAGTAGCCGGACTGCCGACCGCGGCCCGAATCCGCGACCGCCCGGTTTACGATCAAAACCACCGGTTATTTGGGTCGTTGTGCATAAACTCTCATTCACAAGCCGACTCGTAACACCCACGTGTACCTACCTGTAGTATGATCTGTATGACGACTGCGCCATTGTGAAATTGTAAAGTTGTCTGCTCGGGGCACGGTAGCTAGGCTATCTGCGACTGTACAACATATCAAGGATAGGATTCCCTTATGGAGCACCTCTTTATGTCTTTCGAGGCCTGGGCGTGATGTCGAATTGTGTAGGTTTTCCGATTTTTAAACACTCGTCTATGAAACATGTAGAACGGAGTATTAGCTTTATCCTAGATGCATCATGTACTCTTTCTAAGATCAAGAATTATTTATTTTTTATTTTTCTCCATAAAACTGAGGAATTCAAACTGTAAGATTTGTCTCGAAATAGACACTTTACATCTATGTCTGGTTATGAAAAATGAAGCACCCAATGACACCGCGTCTCCTGCCGCCGGCGCCCGCGTTTCACGTAAATATCAGATAATTGACAACTGTAGCGAATTGTAGTGACAGATATAAGAGAGTGACACAACTACCCACACTGCGAATTATGTTGTTGTCGCCATGAGTATAATGGTTCATTTACTTTGTTTACATTACACAATTGTGTCGGTAATGTTATAAATTTCGTAAAATAAGAGTCTAACTTGTTTAAACTACATCGATCCTACAACGATCGAAAACTGAGAATCTCAATAGCCAATAGGAACAAATAGAATCCTTCGGAAATTAAACCCTCCCAAGTGTACTAGCTCAACAACTGTACTTGTTATCAATACGGCTGTAAAAAGGTTAAATAAACACAAGTACCCCATGATAAGTTAAGTAAAGAAAACACATAATAAGTAGAAACTACGTCGTCACTTTATTTACAAAAATCAATATATTAAATATCACATGCTCCATGTATGGCTCCTGTCTGTCTGTCTGTATACAAGTACCTATGTAAATATGGTGTCAATAAATATAACCACCTTCAACAACATTCTTCTATGAACTACTATCATACTACTATATATAATTCGTTTGTCATATAGCTACTAATAGATACATTATACATTTACTTTGTTCATACTATGTACAATGAACACGGAACTATTACTTAATACTTAACGTTACACAAACAGATTTACATTCCTACAAATAACATCTAGTTATTTTTTACTTAATTTCATTACAAAATAGCAATCAATCGTTAAACATTGTTCATTTCTTCTTCCTATTTAGAGTACAGATTAAAAATATTTAGAGTACTTCATAAATAGGTAAATTATCACTAAATAAATAAAGATAGTTTCTTGTTGTTAGGCTCGGGTGATGTACTAACGTTAGGTACTACAGCTAATACTCTGATCTATACCTCTACCATGAACTTAAAGCAATTAGCAAGGACGTTGAAATAGCTGGGCATAATGTCATTTAGAAATGATTGAAGCACCAAAATGTCAGTAATTTTTAAATGTGCGTGTGTTACCACGTTACCAGACGAAAATGACAGATGTCCTTCGTGTCAATGTGTGTGTATTCTGCGTGTAAGTCTATAGTAGCCAGGTTTTGTATGACGAATTTTAATTTCATAAGGGACCGCTAGAGGCGCTGTACAATTTGAAAAATTATTACAAACTTAGTCGTTATTGAGTATCAATAAAATGCTATTACTTTAAATGCATGGTAGTGGTCTAGAGGTACCTACGGAGGAACATATAAATAATTAGACTCGTTTTACATTCTTAACTTCATAGTGTATTACACGTAATACACAGAATGAATGGCGTACAATGGCATTAAATGCTTTGCCACGACATCTAGCGGCTGTGTTGGCGAAGTAATACAACTACAATAACTTACAGTTTAACTATGTATAAAATGCTTGTGTTTTACATGTGACTACTGTATGGAGGCACGTACTCTGTAAAATTATCACATAAAATATTTATAAATACACGCGCGCGTGGTGTCGCTAGTTTCTCTGTGTTAGGTATAAAGTTATCTTCTGCACACGTATTTACAGTAAATAGAATAATTTAACCAGCTCCATAGTTACAAACTGCTCACGTATCTACTACAGTAAACTTATTACCATGAAACTTCACGTTCACGATATTCATTAAATAGGTCGGTAGGCTCGGATATTGTATCTAATATTCAAAATGTTCGTCTGAAGTAATTTAAGTCACATTATGGCTACAGAAATGTACAATGCTCGTTAGGACCGAGGCTTGTCATGTACGTGTTGTCAAGGTCTGGTGGTCATCTGGTGTTGTTCCTTGGGCGGCAGTGGCTCCGGTTTGCGGGAGATGAGCTCGGCCTCGCGGATGGTGTCCGGGAGCCGTGTGTTCAGCGTCTCCGGCGTGGTCAGCATGAGCGCGCCCGCCACCAGCGCCGCCGCGCCGAACAGCACCGACGGCAGCCACTCCACGTAGATCGCCTGTCGCAATCAACTCATTAACACTTACACTTTAATAAATACTAGCTTCTGTTTTGGCTTTACTCGCTTTCCCGTGGTATAACAAGTATTCTCTGTGTTATTTTAGACCATAATCGACCCTTGTTCTAAAGTTCACCCTAACCCCATCAACCAATTTGGTGTGATTGAAAAACAACCTCTTACATGTATGACATTAAGGAAGAAGATGTAAGATATTAGTAAGAATACAAATAAAACATGAGAAGTGATCTCAGAAATTATGCTCAAAGTATGTATAAGCCAGCTAATGTTACAATAATCGGCAAAACGCGAATGATAATAGGTAATAGCTAAATTATAATGTAGCACATTATATCCTGTGAGATTGTTGCAAGTAAGTGTGCTATTGTATTGAGTACCTCAGATCATAGATCATAGCGCGTAGGCTAAATATCAGCTGGACGCGTTAGAGCACATTGAGAGGCGTGCCAGGAGGCTCATCGACGATGATGCGCTTGTGAAGGCTCGGCTTCAAAGCCTCGAACACAGGCGTAAGGTTGCAAGCCTTTCGGTTTTCTACCGGATACATTTCGGGGAGTGTGCGGGGGAATTGCACAACTTGATTCCCCCTAGTCCTTTCCATCATCGTACCACAAGACAATCCGCGAAGCGTCACCGATTCATGGTAGATGTTCCGCCCACACGCACGAAGCGCTTTGCTTCAAGCTTCCTTGTGCGTACTGCTAAAGAGTGGAATTCTTTGCCAGAGTCTGTATTTCCTGAAGGGTATAACCTGGGAGTCTTCAAGGCCCGAGTGAATAGGTTGCTTATGGGACGACGTGCTCCAACGTAGACCGCATCATCGCTTACCAACAGGTGAGATAGTGGTCAAACGTCGCCCCATCAATTATAAAAAAAAAAAAAAAAAAAAGGCCTGTGTGCATTTTACCGTGGGAACTTTAACGGTACGACTTACATATTATTATAGTAGGTCTGTTGTCAATTCACGGCGTGTACTGTGTCTATTCCCAAAATAAAACCTATGATTAGAATAGGCTACATATAACTACTGACCAGCAGTGGCATCTGTGGCGCAACGATGGATCCTATCCTGCCGACCATGGAGCAGAAGCCGAGCAGCGAGTGTCGCGCATGCGTGGGGAACAACTCCGACGTGTACATGTAGACCCCGCTGAACGCCTGCGTGATGGCCACCTTGCCCAGTAGGTACAGCAGCGTCGCCAGCCACGCCATCGCTGAAACACAACACACTAAGATTGAGATACATCACTTCAAATTACCTGTTGGTACCTACTTACTATTTTGTAGGTCGTAGATTATAAAAGTAGCTCAATTGATTAAGTGGTAATGTAATGTAGTAATTGCCATAACGTCACTTCCTCTCTATTGTAATAGCGACCCGTGGGTAGAGTCGGTTTGGAAAGTGGAGATCGTCTAAGACATTTTATACCTAATAGCTGTAGTATTAATTTCTTACTTTTGGGTACAAAAGGTATAGCCACGCAGGCTATCCCGCAGACGGTGTACGCGCTGAGTAGAGTGCGCTTCCTCCCGATGCGGTCGAGCACGAGCGCGTTGGTGACGACGGCGATGACCTCGACGCTGACCACGAGCATGTAGTTGGTGTACTTGTCGCCCGCCAGCGACACCGAGTTGATGGCCAGCCCGTAGAACACGAACGTGCACGTGATCCACCACCACGAGCAGATGGCCAGCCGCGTCATGATGATCGGCGAGTGGAACACTTGTATCCACAACCCTTCCTCAGGTTTCTCATCTTTCTTCTCCACCGGCTTCACTTTCTCCTCGGTCAGCTGCTTCATTGTCTCGTCTGACAGAGTTACTTTGTTCATTTTAGCGGCATTTATTATAATTTCTACAGCTTCTTCTTTCCTTCCTTTTGATAGCAACCACCTGATGCTCTCCGGCAACAAGTATATGTACAGGATGAATAGCAGAGACGGAGGGTACGCTGCGAGGATGAATGTACGCCAGTACTGGAAGGTTTTGGCAAGGAGGGCAAAGGCCAGTCCGCCCAGCACCAGCATGATACCAAGGAAGGCGGTGGTGAGCACTCGTTTGTCCTGGCCGAGTAACTCGATCGCTGGAAGTAACAAAATGTACAATGTTAGACTATTAAAATAAATAGGCCACGGTATAATCAACAACGCGTCGTGCAGTCACTTACTCAAGATGTACGCGGCAGGGAACACGCTGGCCCCAGCGATGGTCTCCAGCAGTTCCACCGTGATGTACATCTCGTACGAGATGGAGAATGCCTTCAAGGAGCCGATGGCTCCCACCAGCGTGCTGCTCAATATTAAGGCTCGCTTTCTGCCCCATCTGTAAACACGATGTGTAATTTTAAATATTTAACCTTCTACAAATTCGATAGTGGAAACACTATTTATTACGTAAAACTGGATAAAGTTATTTAGATGTGAACATAGACCTGTATCAGAAATAATTAAATAAAATTATATGAATTTACAGAAAAAAGTAGGCAGTAATTAATTTCACATTATACGCCTGAAACTATGCGCGTACTAGCTACAGCACATGAACGTGACTAGACGTTCAAGTAGTTACTAATATAATATAATATAATATGTCGGTTGTTATTTACATGTCATAAATAAATTATATTATAACATAACAAGCTTTTATAATTGTGGTAGACTTATTATTATCATAGAAGTATAACAATAATTATAGCCTTTTACTATGATTTAGCGATATAATCACGTACCGGTCAGAAATATAACCGAAGATAGGCAGCGAAATCAACATCCCGATGTTGTGCACCGTGCCCACCAGGGTGCGCTTCCACTCTTGACAGGCCAAATTGAACTGAAAATTAAAAATACTGCTTTATAACAACGTCTGTATCCCAAAACATGTTTGCATGCAGCTCTGCAAATTATCATTGAACTTTTCCCTGTAGCCACATGCTATAAGCATGAATTTTTTTAACCGACTTCAAAAATAAAAAAAATGAGGTTCTCTTGTATGTATGTTTATGCGCGATTATCTAGCAATCGGCTGATCTAATTTTGATGTGGTTTTTAGAAAGTGTTTGTCACACTTAGGAGAAGGTATTAATATATGTACTAATTACCAACTTCAAAAAACAGGGAGTTGAAGATGTTTTTTTAAACATAGTTTTTGAAATTATTATTATGACGATACATAAGTAGGTACCATCTTTTTTATTGTGCACTTGTATTCATGATCGGAGTGATCAGTGAGGCTGTGTGCCTCTGTCAAGGGCGGCGCAGTGAGCCGCGACTGCTCGCATTTGCCGAACTATCAGAGCGCGATCAGCTCCAGTCAGTGCGCAGTGTAGCGAACAGTTCCCAATAGCCGTGACTAATGCTCATGTAGCCATGAATTACCATCACATACCATGCCATCATGAGATGATGAGGTACCAGATATCATCATTTTTTCCTAGAATTATCATCGTATTTTTTATAATTGCACTTCTCGGTGCATTGTGTAAGTAAAAAAACGTTTATAATGACCTGCTGAGTTGCATGGTGTATCACGTAAGTACTTATTTGTCGTCTTGTGGTCAGAAATGACTGCATTTCATTTGACAACTATCCGAATTTCCGAACCGAAACAAAACAAAGGTATATGCTAACAATATACATACGTATATTCGGTGGCGCTGTTATTGCAATGTTATGTGAAGAATGTTCATTGAAGCTCTAGGAGTACTTGGTAGTGACTCTTGCCTAGTAAATACGTATCACTTGAGTGGTACTGTAAAGGTTGCTGCAGGACGTCCAGCGGAAGGTCGCGCCGGGCGTAGAGTGTGTATGTGCGAGTTGTACGCTAATGTTTGTCAAAAGTTTCCGAGTAGAATGCTGAAGTGTTCGACCTCGGGCGAAGATATCACTGCTGGCCTACTTTACAATGCCAATACTTGAATGTACTACGTAATGAGATAAATATTTTATTTCTCGAGACTGGGTCAGGTTCACGACTTCTTTTATTACAACTAAACATATACTAATTCTAATCTTATAAAGTCGCTGCTAACAGCTAGCTCTGTCTGCATGATGCACGGTATTACTGAAGCCTTCGTGACGTATTACTGAATTAATCGTAGTTTCTATCAATCCGAATCTATAAATTACAGCGTACATCTTATTTAATGAACGATGGGTGCTTATCTGAGAACAATCACACAATTATGTACAAGAAGCGCTGTATTTATGCAAATGATGCCATTATCCACGTTGAAGCAACAGAACTGCACACGCGACTGTTGTCGCCACAGAAATATAGAGGTACAATCTATGGTTATCACCGCCCTCCTTCTTATTTTCCAAAACCAGCACTAAATCCATTTTCAATCTTTCGAGGATGTCACTGTTGCTGCTCATTCGTTCGTCAATGTGTAAGTGTAGAAAGTAGTTACTCTTTGATGGAGCCGCTTAAAGGGTGAATGTCCCACGTTGACTTGGCTATAATAACTTAGGCAGCAGCTCCTCAATACACTAGTCTATTATAAAATATGATACATGCTAACTATCTTCTTGATCTATGCACTGTATTTCTATGCGATAGCAGGAATAAAATGCGATGCAGTGTAAGTACAAATAGGTAATATGTGTGGTGATCAAAATGATATATTTGGTGTAAGTACGTGCCTGGCGCTCGCTCTCCTTTGTGTTGTTATCAGAGCATGCGCCGGCGACTCTCACACAAACACACCACTGTCTCTCAGTAGCGATACCAAACACTATTCGAACGTGTGGTAGCGATGTGTACACTGTGTAATTGTGTGTATACTGTGTAACTTGCATGAGTTATTGTCTTCCGACTATCTTCCTACATGTCGATATTTAATATTCTCAGCTGTACTGAGATAACACAGAGACAAACGCTCGTACTTGTAAGAGGTCGACAATGTGCCAAACATTTAAAACTTGTTAGTTACACTCGTCGTGTTCAGTCGTTAGCTGAATCCCAATGAGTTTAGGTATAATATCTAATGTTTTCCCTATTTTTTCTGCGGTATACTTTACTACAAATGATGTTGATTATATTTTGTGCACGAGTGTAATGCTTGACTTCCGGCGAGACGAGCGCGGCGCGGGTTGTTTGTGTCACAAACTCACAACGCCAACTTGATGTCTTCTACAATGACCCTCGAGACAACGCTATGTACACATTTTTCATTTTATTATTAAGCCTAATTGAGGAAGGAGTGACATGTACTTATAGGGTGTTAAGAGGTCTAAAAATGGGATAATCAAATACAGAGCGGTTGGCAAATACAAGTAGTAAATTACCTCTGATACTATGGTATTGTTGGCCTGATAGAGCCAGTGGTCGCAGGTGGTGACCTCGTGTGCGAAGGCGGTACCCTCCTGGCAGGGCAGCTGTGGGTCGAGCGGCGCGCGGCGGGAGCAGCGTGACTCGATGTTCCCCGGGGGTAGCGCCGCCGCCAGCCAGCCCGGCGAGTACTCGCTGCTGTTCGACGCCTCGCACTCCGGGACCACGCACCTGCACAACACAATAATACAATGTTTAAACTGTACAATAGTTACAATTGACTGATTATTAATTTAAATTTGAAAGGTTGATAAGTTATAAATTAGTTCTGAGTCTGGATCTAAAAATAATTATAACACTCAATATACATATATAAACTGTCATAAACACTTCTGAATCTCATCATAGCTGAAAGGGTTGTCAAGAATTAAACAATAGAACGGCAAATAAACATCAGCACCATTCTAGTGACATTGAGAAAAGCAGTAGAGATCTGACAATAGGCCAACATTCATACAGCCTACGCGTCAAATTTTTGACTAGCTACTCCCGGGCGGCTTCACTCCTCTGTCTGGCTCCTATGATCGTAGCGTGATGTTTTATAACTTATAGCCTTCCTCGATAAATACAATATCCAATACAAGAAGAATTATTCAAATCGGACCAATAGTTCAAGATTAGCGCATTCAAACAAACAACGAAACTCTTCAGCCTTAAATAATAAAAAAGAAGTACAAGAGTAAAAATATATACGAGTAGGTAAATACACGGAGGTACAGAACAATAAATTACTCGTATCTAAGACAACAAGCTGTTAATGTTGATTAGAATCCTGCAGTTATTAGATGTAGTTACTCACAGTGACTACATAAGTACCTATTTAGCTGAATGTATTGTAGTCAGCTATAATGGCTTCCGCCGGTCCTGTACCCACTCGGCTCAGAAACAATAGATCCTTAAGACAGCTGTACACGGACACATGGTGCCCACCACGACGTAACATATTTAATTGTATATCTGTGCTCACCGACAAGCTATAAAACAATGTTCAATGAGACGTCACCCATCTATCATGTGAGCCAGTTATTGAATATCGTTGAACTAGTTCGACCTGAGTAAGTAGCTGCAGACTGATACAAAGCATATTAACTTTCTATAAAACATATGGTTTTAACTACAGAAGATCATACTGCAGGTTTTGTTTCAGGATCACATAGTAGGTAGTATCTATACTTCAGTAGCGCTGATGCCGATAAGGACCCGCAGGAAGCCTAACGGGTTGGTGCTCCGGTTGGAAGTGCAGGAGTAGGAACGGGTTGATTAATTTCTAGTCGATAAGAGTCTGACAGTCCCTCTCGCCTAACCTAGGGTGAGAGAAGTCATTTGGATCATTTTTCCCATTCAAAGTATAAAAAGGAGTATCTATACTCATGGCCATTTTAACAAACCATTCCTAAACCATATCTTAACTAAGTGTGACATAGCATGTGGGAACACCTAAACTAACCCCTTACTTTTACCTAAGGTGTCACTTGCAGGTGGTTAAAACCCATAAGGTCGTTAAGTATCACCAATCTTCTTTTGGTGAAAACCAAGTGAAAACAGACATTATTGTTGTGTAATAAATAATAAACTATGTCAGATTTTACCTCTACCTTACATTACATTACTTTACTCTTATCATATCTATGGGTTTGCCAAATAATTATGTAGTTACTTAGTACATAGGTAGCACAGGTCACGGCCATGTCCATAAACAGTGACCTCCCATAAACAACACATTCCCATTCTAGACAATAATCTCCATACCTCCTAATGTTCCCGGAAAACTATTTCACAAATTCACTAGTACATGATAATTATGTTGTAGATACCATCATACGTTATGTTTATGAAGGTTGACACGACAGTAACCTATGTTATATCATAGACGAATTACTTAGTTTAAAATTTTCCAGGAGTAATAGGCAAGTATGGAGCTTCTTGCAAATAGCTTAACTTTTTAATTTTTCGTTGACGTTCAAAAGTGCCTACCTTTCTCGGCCACTATAAACTGCAACAATCTTAAGGACTAACAGTTTTCCGGTTGTAATTGATATAAATAACAAACACAGTTATAAAGACATAGTAGCGACCCCAACCTACTTAGGAAGGGAGAAAAAGAAAACATAAATATTATTATTGAATTCAATTGCAATATTGAAAAATATTTTTCCTCCTTCACTGCTGCTAATGGTTGCAGTGTTACCATGTGAGAGAACTAGTATTACAAAACCCTACGGAGGATACGAGGTGATATTTATGATCTATCTATATGAATATGACAGAAGAGAATACAAGCATTAGGTTCACCAATGTAACAAAACAAGACTCGGTCAGTCAGCACGTACCGGCCACAGATATAATTGTACTTTGTGTATATCTGACAGTTCAGACGCGATAGTTTATAATGTTGCAGCACGTTTTGATACAAATTGACCAGATTGTAGAAGCAGTTGCTTACAGTAAACTTAAGTCATTACTTATTATTAGCATAAGTGTGGGAGAGCCATGCTTCGGCACGAATGGGCCGGCTCGACCGGAGTGATACCACCAACGAGCAGAAAACCGACGTGAAGCAACGCTTGCGTTGTGTTTCGTCTTGTGAGTGAGGTTACCGGAGGCCCAATTACACTCCCCTTCTCCAATCTCCCTCATTCCTGAATCCCCAAAAGGCCGGTAAGGCACTTTTAACGCCTTGGTGTTCATGTGTCCACGGGCGACGACGATTGCTTATGCAATCTTAATTGACTCAGCTAATCGTCTCGGCACAACACGAACTTCTACATTGATCATCGGCATCATATTAGCTAGTTTTTGTAATTTTTTGTCCATATACACCGAGTGAATCCCCGGCAAGTGGTATTGGCCAACCTGATGTAATCATATGTAATGATGTATACAAAGCAACGAATTAAAGAAGGTAAATGAAGAATCTTATGTGCGTGGATAAATTTGTGGACAGATTAAAAGGATCAACAGCTGGTAATTTAGACATAAAACTAATAAACCTGTTCTCCTCTATTACCTACAGTTATCCAAGAATATCGAAATACACGCCACGCGTAAGAAACAAAATCAAAGTCTGCCAAAATAGGTAGACTTAAAAACTGGTAAACAATTACGAAAGATCATCCTAACATAAGAGACCACTCTTACCTTGCATGCCAGCACGTGTATTATTATGATAAATTCACTTTATTGGTAGATATTATTTGATTGGATTTTAATTATTACAACTGTACTGTGTAAGTGTTATAAATGTAATTAAATTCAGATTATGATGGTTCCCATAACTTTTGTAATAAGTAATAATTAACAAGAAACATAAATAAATAAAGGAACCGTTCTTTGTTATATTGTTTTATCATTGTTCTTAAGATTTTATAAGTTATCTTTTGGTAGCGATTTTGCAATAATTATAAGGCTTTTATTTTATTTTATTTATTTAATGATTTATTGTTATAATGCTATCATAATTAATAATATCTAGTCTTTAAACAATAAGTCCTTTAATTCTACTATAAAATTTATATTACAGCATAAATATACTTATTGCGGGCCCTTCCTGGTGGCCATAAATAGTGAGAGAGGTGAGCTGCCTCCCACCGGTTGTATGTCCACGGACGACATGAGGAAAATTAGAATCGCAACTGACGCACGCGACAAATTCACATGCACTAAGCCGCAGACGGAGTTACGCATTTCGTTCACTACCAATTTCTAAAATAAAAATTTCCAAAATATTAGAGGCAACAACTTTTGTTCTTTATCCTTATACATATGAATGTCGTAAATACGAATTTCAAGAAACTCTAAACAATAAATATGTATTGTTAAGAACAGCGTGTCTAATAATCCTATACATGGAAGGACAATATATTTGGTAACGCACGTAAATGAGTTTTTGGCTTGGCATGCTACTTATGTTTCAAGCCGCGTTAATCTAATTGGATGCTTCAAGTTGTCGAGCACAAGTCGCAGTTGCTTTTCCACATTGTCTAAAATTTTGGGTAAACCTGAGCTCGCGCCTCGAGGACCCCGGCCGGAGTCATTCAGCACAAAACCGTTTTTGCGTTACTAATTATTCTTTCAAATGCTACATACAATACAGGCATACAATGAATAATGTCCATTATTTCGAAAACTACCAAAAAATTGTTTATACCCAGTACAGTGGCCTGAAGAAGACAAAAACATATTTTGCTATACAAAAAAATACCACAAAACTAATTAAATGTTCCGCTTTTTTGTTGAATTCTTGAGAATGTACGATATTAAGCACCTGATTCAGTTATAACTATACACTATATGAATGGTACGTAGCAGTGCCTTATCCTCTTACGGTTGCGGACAAATAGCAGAATCAACTTTTGATTTACGAACACGTAAAAAGCGTTTTCGTACATCATTAACAGCTGAAGCGACCGTCGTCCGCACTTCTATAGCAAATACATCTAAGATCCGTCATTGTGCACGTGCACATCTCACGATTCGTGAGTGAGTAGGTATTTATTGGGTACTTTTTGCATCACTCGTGTTTCTCAGCGAATCGCCTGCATAAACTTTGTGTATAATAAACTTCCGCAACCATTTAAGACCTATAATTAAGATAAGGCAGTTTTCAAAAGAATCCGTTAATTAGTGAAAAAAGAAAAATTGTGAATAAATAAGATTTTTAACAATTTATTATCGTCTGACTCTTGTCTAGAATTGTCTACATTTTTTAATAACTGACAAACTTGTTAATATACTAGAACCATTAGGTACAGCTGTTGCAATTAAATAAGCATTTTGTTTAACAGCAGTGACGAGCCGACGGATGCTCGGAGAGAGATCAAAGACATTACAAGTAGCAATACACAGTGCACGTACAAGACAATGATATTGCAATACTCGAGTAAACTGTTAGAGTAGCACGAGACGCTATGGATGCGCGTGCGCACACGTGACATCGATCAGTGAATGCAAAACAATGTGTCCTCGGCAGGTCAACGTACAGCCAGTTAGGCCGTCTTAACGAAGCGCATCCGCGGCCACTTCATTCAAGAGCGACTCGGAGAGCACAAGTTGTGTAACACCGGCGCCGGCGCTTCCAACCTTGCCTCCCAACCCACCGTACCCGGCGACTGCTCAGTTATCAGTCCACCTCATACCAGTCTCATGCTCCATTTGTTTTTTTAATTAAATAACATCTCCTGTGCAAATGATCATGATCAGTCTGCCACCTCGATGTCGGTCAACAAAGACACGATTGAATTCCCCGACTGACTTACTAAATGAGCATTTATTTATTTTAAGAGTGCACACAATACAGTGCTTAAGACGAGCACTGGGGTAACAATAGCCATCTAATTCGTAGCAGTACTAAATACAAGGGTGCTCAACTTAGTTACAGTCGTATAAATAATTGATTTAATGAAGCTGTGGGAATGTCGTATCGTTAACATCATTGCCATGAAACTTAGCAAGTAAATGACATGCTTATTGTAACGTCAACGTATTATATTTCTTGTTACGGTACGTACCATTTAATGACATGTCATGTCACAAAGAATGATGATAAGCAGAAACGATTCTCTCCACAACATGCCATTTACACTAATAAATTTAAACTGGTTCTAATGAGTTTGTGTATAAGTATAATGTCAATTAGAATGTTTTTCTACTTAACAGAAAACTGCGTCGTCAGCAGGAGATTGTTGTAGACGACGTTGTTGTTGCGTGTGGAGATGATTGTAGTGACTATTGTGATAAGGAAGGGGATGCTTTATTGTATCAAACAAAAGAATAGCGAACTCAAGGGATAAAAATATAACATTGATAGAAAATCGTGAACTTCTAAACATTTATGAAAACTCGTGATAATTCCGGTCGCATCTGAATGAATGGCAATTGTTATTAGTTCACTTCCAAGAGAGCGCGGTGCAGGCGCATGCGCGTCTCACCAGACTCTACCACTGGACATCATCTCGCGCGCCGGACGCCGGACGTAGCTAATTGCGATAATTCCGCAGTACCACCAACAACACACAATTGTCTCACTATATAGGTACCTACTGCACAAGTCAATTGCATTCATTGTTAGCTTGTTACAGTTATCACTGTACGGACAGGTTCAAGTCAAGATCTTATCGCTCATTCAGGACATTTCTTTCTTCCTCATTCCTTTCCTTACATTTACTATTTTCTACCGTTTATATTAAAGTGTTTCTGGGAATAGCAGCCAGTAACCATAGTCCGGTACGGTCTGTAGCCCTCTTTATACCCTACATACACCAATGAAACAACAATCTTTGAACATAAACGACAAACAGTCTGTACTTAATAATTGCCGACCTATACGTACGTATACCTAATTTAGATACGTTTATATTAGTAGCGTTATCACATGTCTGTATAAATAGTAGCATTAATATATTCCTACTAGTATATGACTACTTTCTCAACACACACTGAGTGAACATGGCGTACTAGAGGTAGTAATTTTAATCGATGTAAGTCGGGCCCGGTGCACCTCGACTGGATCGACGAAATGCATTTGTCTCGGCCTGTATGCGGAACGAGGCGATTTTCCTCACTCCGTAATAAAACAATCAATCTATTGTACAGTCAGAAAGTCAATACAAATATTATTGTTGGAAACTTTGTCTATTTTTATCTATTTACTAGTAATAGGGCACTCTGCGGTCGCGTTATTGTTTATACAAGTAGTATTTACGAGCACAGTATTTGTCTACCGGTAGACTGTTATGTTTTCTTAGAACTTGCCACTGCGCTTTGACAACATCGTTTCAATATACAAAAACACAGCAAACAGTTAAAAAAGTAATGTTTGCGTTCAAGTTCCCCAAATCATGTCACGTTTGTAGTCACGGGGCACTCGCGCATTACACTAATTGTTATTGTACAAGTACCGACCATAAACCTATTGATACTGTGATTAAAACCAAACCTACTGTGGAGATTGTACATTTAGTTTTCTAAATGTATGTACATGCATACGTAATGGAACTAAGTACACATTTCCATTTATTTTCCACATTTTACCTTAATAGTGTGTTCGAAGCATAAAGTCGCAAAAATAAGACTATTAATAGTTTATTGGTCTACTTAGTTAACGTGCCGGTCAGTGACGGATGACGGACGGCCGCGTCGTGCAGTCCAGGAAGGAAGTAGGAAGGAAGCCACGGAAGCTAACTCTACAATTACGAATATCGAATTATAATGATCCCTCTAACATGGGTCACTGAGAGGTCGCCATATTGTGCACGAGCCGCTAAAATAACAAACACTTCCGCTGTGACCTACCTCAAATAGAAAGTATCTACATAGTATCATCGAACTCAGAGGCCTCAGACAAAATCGATGACAATCGATGACCTCGTGACTGTTTGTCGTAGCTCTGTCGGGTTATTTTAAATCAAAACAGAAGACTGCACAATTAATAGGTTTAATTTCTACATAACAGAATCAAGACCGGCTCACACCGATACAAAGAAATGCCCGAATGCTATGGCTGGCGTGTGTCGATGAAGAAGAAGCGCGGCGCTCGCGCGGCCGTGGGTTTTTATACCCCGTCCCGCGCGTCGCCGCCTCTATGGTCGATGGCCATACTAATGCGCCAACACTGTTGATGACAATGAGAATCCCATCAGTCAAGTTTACTATCTGCCGCACTCAGAGATATCAAATAAATGTTGAATTAAACTATTCCGTAGCAATGATTTTATTCCGAAAACAATTGTTAAGGATTCGGTGACCATTAAATGAGATGATCAGTAAGCTGAAGTGGCAGTGGGTCGGTACCATTTGTCGAAGAACTAATAACCGTTGGGGTAAACGTGTTCTAGAGTGGAGACCGCGTCTAGGCAAACGCAGTGTAGGACGACCTCCAGCTAGGTGGAGTGACGACATCTGCAAGGTGGCTGGCAGTGGTTGGATGAGAAGAGCTGAAGACCGAGCTCAGTGGCGTGCCATTAGAGAGGCCTATGTCCAGCAGTGGACGAATACAGGCTGATGATGATGATGAAATGAGTCTGAGTACGGGTAAGGTCTCATTATCCCATAGATGTTAATTACATCTGATACTGATTCATGTTAACTGTTTACTTATAAACTTGAAACGCACCTAGCAGTCAGACTGGGGGAATCACAACATACATATAGTGGGACAATAATATTCAACAAAAACTAAGAATATCGCAACACAAACAGTTACGTATTCGATTTGATTTGCGTATTTGTGAAACGTAAAAAAACTTCACCTGCCTTATTTTCCCTGATAGACCGCACAGTGACGTCATTATGATTTTGATGACGAGAAAGATGATGCCTAGTAGGGTTTTCTGATAAGTACACAATTTATTAAGAAAATAATTTTTAATTTTTTCCTCAAGTGTTACGTCGGGATACACAAGTATGGTAATAGTTCTTAGTAGGTACTAATGTCTATAGATAGTACAGATATGTTATATGTTGTGTCAAAATTGGTCTTTAAAAGTTGTCATTTAGCGGGAGCTTGTTGAGCCATAACGCTCTGGCAGTGACCTAGTTAACATAAAAGAAAGAGAAGTTACGTGCGCACAGCGGCGCCGGCGCAGGTGACACCACATCAATACTGAGGAGCGGGTCGGTAACTTTTTCTTTCCTTTGTTGACAATCGTGAATGGACGTAACATAAACAAAACAAATTACATATGTACATATGTATATTATGTGCCGATATAACCATCAGTGTCTATCTAAATGTTAATTTAACATCTAATCTAGCATATAACCATTTTCGTTTTACTGCCATGTAAATTTTTTATTGTTTGGAACAAAAATATAGCTATATTAATCATAAATCAGCGCATACTTAATCTAAATAAAAACTTGAATTCCTTCGCAAAATGTATGTTAAATGCTTATCTTGTAAAGATCAAGGGAATTAAATTAGTTTGAATTTAAATAGTCAAACATAGTGTAAAAGGACGACCGTTCTAAAGTTAGTATATGTAGGTTGCTACATCCATCGACACAGGCATATCTTGCGACATATTGATATACACGCCCAGCCCATACTTTGTTTGGATCTCACTCCCACAGTCATTGTCAGGGTCTCAAACATAGATATGTGAACATTGTGAAGATTTGTTAGTGTTTAGTGAAATGTTGCAACCACTAAATTATTCTAAATTAAATACTTTAGCGTCATGTACTGTAACGTAAGTTGACAGACGACGACAACAAGAGAAATTTTAAAGAGAGCTACGCAAACTCAGTCGGTACTGGTTTTTACGAGAACGAGCTTTTTAAGTTTGCCCCTAAGTCATACTTGTGAAAGGAACGTTTAATAATTACGTGTATAATAGTGCCTAATATTTATTAATAATAACATGTCAATGTTTATACATTGCAATTACACTGACATATTTTTTGAATTTAAGATTATTTATACCGATTATTTAAAATTTCGGAAGGTAATATATAAATGAATAGAGTGTAGAGTAATTTTATCAAAACATATGGAGTGTGATGTGCCAGGGTCGGCAACCTGGTGTGGTGACCTGGCCAGGTGTGTGAGTGTGTGGAGTACCTGTATGGCACGTCTGCTGCCAGGAACACGTAGTTGGTGGCGTAGAGCGCGGCCACGAACACGGTGAGCGCCAGCAGCACGTAGTTCCCGAGGTGGAACCGCCGCGCCTGCCCCAGCTCCTTCATCAGCCGCTCCATGTCCACTCCCGCGCTGCCCGTGAACTTCTCCTCCGACTTCTCCATCACACCCTCAGGTTTCGACATCACACACTACTCCGTAAATTATTTAATGTCCAAATATTATCGCATTCACGTAATGTTCCGTGGAGTGCAGCAGTGCGGCGGAGGTAGCGTGCGCGCGCGCCGCTAGTGACACAGTGGGGACATGTGCGTGCGACGGAGCTGGCCGACGAAGATGCGCGTCGCGTGTAACTGGCGCAGCTGCCGTGCTCGCCTATATAGTTGTACTCGTTGCTATTCCGCCGAAGCCTCCGCGGACGAACTTCCACAGTTCCGCACGCCGCGGTCGGCCGGTGGGGTGCGGAACTTTGTCACCAAAATATTTTTCCTTCTACATATTGGCAATGAGTCTATGTGTGACTCGCAGTTGATAAAATATATTGAACTAGAATCTTCTAACGCATTCAAGTATTGATGCGCTAAACAGAAGCACCTGTGACGAATGTACACAGGATCATGTCAACATAACACACACGCACATGAGATAAATAAGTTTACGATACGATGCAGGGGTACATTCAAGACGTTCACTAAATTCCTTAATAATTGTTTACTTTTAAAATTAAGCAATAAATAATAACTCGTCTTCTTAATCCTCGAATTTCCCACAATCCTCAAATTCCCAATCACCAAAAGGCCGGTAACGCACTTGTAATGCCTCTGCTGTTGTCATACGTCTGCTAGTTTACCGGTTTATCTAATAAAAAAAAGTTGAGAAAAGGCACAACTAGTGCCTTCCATCATCAGATCATTCACATGAAATGATGATCAGCAGAGATCAATTGAATAGCTTTGTAAAATTGACATAAACGTAAGTGCATATAATTTGAGGGTTGTCTTCGGTGTCTCTGGGATCTCATCATCAGATCCTGACCTATCACAACACACACCGCCAAATAACTTACAAGTACTGAAAAAATATAATCATATAAATTAGACTGTAATATTAATGTAATCGTATTCAATATGCAAACTATCTTCGAAATGATATCATAAAATTATAATGTTCAGAAAATAAAAATTACTGAAGTATTGAACGATTTTTAAACCTCGAAGCTATCGGAGTAAAAAAAACAAGAAAATCTCAACCGAATTGCATACATACTTGATTTTGCGAAGTCGATTTAAATCAATCATGATCAAAAGGGGTCATGAGAAAGGTGGCTATCACTTTATGCGTTTGTGGAAAACCCAGACGCAAATCCACCGATCGTGTGTACTTGTAAACGATAAGTTAGCCACCTTACCTTAACAAGTTAATATACATGCATAAGTACAGTACAGTAAGCACCAAGCAAACACCTAACAGTATTCGCCAATACTTGTTTAGACTAAATAGGTACATGTTTTACGTCAGCACTATAACGTGACGTCACTGTACAGAAAGCCCTTAGAGGTGACGTTAGCATCAGCAATGCTGCACTAATATTAGTTCACTGAACTTCATCTGAAGTACCTACACATTAGGCTTGACACGCATCACGTGTCACGGCGAATGGAGGACACAAACTTATTGTTGCACATTCCAGGTCCACCTCATTAAGAAATTGTAAGTGTAATTATGTAGTATCTAAATGAGCGCAATGTGTTCGTTCGGTCAGCTGATATAACTCAATGACTATGTTTAATGGACCTATAATCGATTCTTTGCGAGAGCCGTGCAGGAATCTATTACGAAATTCTAGCCGCAGAAATGTAATTAATTTGTTGCAACAATAAACGTGAGCTGTACAACAGGTTTTTGTTATTATTTATTTTTTGAATAAATGCCAATCATTTAGATAATAGCAATTAATGTAGAGGTATGAGTAATTGTTGCAGACACGGTTGTCCTCGGCGCGCTGCACGCTGTGTGCGCTAATAATGATGTTAGCTGCGAATTATTACACAGGCTTACATCGTATCGCAGGCATTCCGTGACCGCTGCAGTCAGTGTAACCAATGAGCATCTAATTGTATAAGCTCAAACACTTGGAATTGGAAATACTGAAATGTTTATTACAAGATCTTAGTACGAGCTGTATGCACTTATCCAGCAACATACATTTGATTTAGAACGTAACATGTATCAAGTGATGGCGCCTCATATTGCGGTAGAGGAGAAGTAAAAAATAAATACTTAATTATATTTTGCCTGCCTCGTTATATTATAGAGACTATAAATTACACAGACTGTCTCGTTGGCCGAGTGCTCGCAAGTGCGACTATCGGGCAAGGGGTCTCGGGTTCGATTCCCGGGTCGGGCAAACAATTACTGGGTTTTTAAAAAAAATCTCAGTAGTAGCACGGAGTCTGGAATTGTGCCCGGTATATAGCAAAAGGCTCACCCCCTATTACATGGGACGCATAACATAAATAGTGAAAAGTGGCTGTTACATTGTACAGTGGCATAATGTGCACCTCTGCCTCTGCCTCCCCTTCAGGGATAAAAGGCGTGATGTTATGTAATGTTATATTTTATTATAGAATGGGAACCACTTGATTTTTTTTATTCAAAACTAAAACAATACAAATATGTAGTTAAATGTTAAACGCCTAACCGATATGTGACGGCAATACTCATTCTGTGGTCGACTGCTCACGAGTGCTCACTCACCTCCACACTTTATTACTGCACATACATCATTATTTATGTGAAACACTTCCTTAGAAACCTTCTTTTATGTATCGTAAACGGTTAGTTTTATATAGGTTTTTATTTATGTTCTTATCTATGTATTATAATTTATAGGGTATGTATATTTCCGGAGCTGTGCGATGTAAACGACGCAGTCATATTGAAGCGAGTATAAAATTCGTATTGTTACCATTTACGACCACTATTATAATCACTCCTTTTAAACAGACGGCTCTCGTACGATCATTGCCAAAAAAACAAACAGCATGTTTTAGCATCATCGGCCGGCGACGATGATGTTGTTACAGTTAACAATGGAGGCTGTGACCTCGCGACACTAACTTGATTTGTTGCGGGAGATGTTTTATCACAAACTCACAAACACACTGCCGTATGCGCATTGTGAGCCACAAGTACTACTCTGTACTACGACATAACATGTTACCGGCTGCTGTCAGTCTAATGACGAACTAAATACGTGATTGTTAGGCTAAGGACTCACGATCTTCTCCCGCGTGTCGCGGTACCGGAATGGAGGCGGCATTTTCAAAACTCACGAGGCCGCAGTTTTTTGCGGCGGTCCCGTAGCCGCTGTGGTTGCAATTATCGCCCGCAAAATTGGCAGTTGATTATCCCAAGACGGGCGGGCGGTTAAACAATAAGTTGGCAAAAAATTTAAATCAGTTAAGTTCTCCAGTCGTCCCTTTATAACCGCGGCCGCGCCCGCCGGTGCAATGGTAACCGCAAAGAATCGCAACCGCCGCGGTTGTAAAACGCGCCGTGAAAATGGCTTTGATTTTTTACATACATCTGTATCCTACAAAAGCTGCGGGCCCGCAACTGCGCTAAAGCAAATCGCGCCGTGAGTCCTTAGCCTAACATTCTGATCTCAACCTGGGATAATAGACAATATAAGTTTTAAACTCTGCCTCATTGAACGACTAGTTGCAAGTACAAGTGCCAGTAAAGAACGTAGAGTTCGATTCCTGAGTCAATCAAGCGGATGGAAATATACCCGGTGTATGGCAGTTTTATGCTCGTGCTAATGCCCGTCATCAGTCATGTCAGATTTGACTGACTGCTGTAAACGCATGTGACTCGCTAGATCGTGGTGGGCTTGGTGTAGTTCTCCTCCAATGTGTTGGCAGGCCGTACCGCCACGTGTGCGTCACGTGCTATTAACCATTGACCTACCATTATTCAATGAGAACAAAGCACCCGCCAGTACCTGCTCTTACTGACAAAATTTTCAGTGCCTCCAGGCGCATGTATCATCGCTTCTCAACGAATGTTCTAACTTTCTGAGCTGCCCTGCAGGCCTTGTCAATTATATGTAGACAACAAGCCACGTAATCAACAGAACATCAACTTGCATAGGGCTGCTGACTGTGAAGATTAGCACCTTTTGTTTCGTTTAGAAACCCTCGGCTTCACCTCACCGCCGCCAACCGTGAAGTGTACACAGTAACCACCTTGTAGTGAGTGCCACGGCCTGCTATAGTTTCGACAACACAGTTCTGTGTCAAGCACCACTGCGCCGTGAGGGCACGCCACTCAGCAGATTACTGTATTTCGAAACTACCATTGAATGTGTCCCAAGTGGATCGTTTCAATAGCCCCAATGTGTGACGTGCAATGATATTGTTGGTTTATCTAAATAAAATAAATGTTTTAAATAAAAACGCAACGTAAAAGTATCTGTCTTGGGGCATGAATCTATTGTCCGTGACAACGCTACGTATGTAGCAAGATTATTTATGTCTACAAGTAAAGGAGCGGAACTGCTGCAGTGAGGGCGGCGAACAGGATCACACGCTCCCGTCTACAGTCAGTAGATAATAGCGTCAGCACTGAATTATCGATAGAAGCACTATTGATAGTTTTACGTCTTTCCGTTTTAAACGTGATAAATAATGGTTTGATCCGGTTACGTGACAATACCTGTTTCATAACAAATTGTAAACAGACGCTGTATCCTCAAACGTAACAAAACTTCGATTATTGTGTCTGTAGCCGACCATTACATCAAAACCTGCCATCAGGGAAAAACATTTAGCTTTGAATACTAAATTGGTTATTGAAAAGATATTTTACTTGTTGCTACGGCTTGTATACCAGTCAAACATGCCGCTAATTCGAGTAACTGCAACACTAATTCGAGTTTAGATTCGAGTCTATTTGTAACGTTACGTCAATTATTATTGTTCCTAATCTGAAGGGTATCATCTCGTCAAACCGATGGAAAATTGATGTTGGTAGTATCAATGATGGAAAGACAAAGTAGAGACTCAGAATAAGAGACAAAGTAGTACGTACCTGTAGGGCACGCTGGCGGCGAGGAAGATGTAGGTGGTGTGCAGCAGGCCGACCTGCACGGCGGCCAGCGCCATCAGCACGTACACGCGCA